TCATGCATCGAAACTATGCCTGCCCTGGAGAGTCTTCACCTCAGCTCCCTCAGCACGGAGTTCAGCCACGTAATAAATCTTGATCCAGTAGAACGCACTCTTGAAGCCGACGTACAAGATATGGAGAAGTGGGTTCCTTGCGGAGATGGGCATATCTTATACACACGAGATATGTGCAGGGAGGAGATTCGGCAGGGACTAAATTTTAGACCGCAGCCGGGACCTCGAAATATTTGGCGGGACAATACGCTGGCATACTTTGAACGTATTCAGTATGAGTTTGGACCTCCTTCGAGTGTATGGAATTGGGAACCATTGAATGAGGATAGTGCGTAGATACATTGCAGGCAAAGAATGGGTAGCCGGTATACTGCCCGGATTGACTTTGATAAGAGTGTTATTTTGAGTTGATAGTCCCCACAGCTGATGGCTTACATCACGCGCCTCGCACACGGGGAGAGACTTACCCTAGGTAGATGATAAAAATTATCTTTTTAATACAAGAACAGGAGTATGCTTCTCAAGCATAGTAAAAGGGCTAGTTTTGAGACTACTGTATAACAATTTTTCAATTAACATGCACTCACAGGGTACATCACCACTTTCCGGTTGATGGTACTCTATTTTCTCTGTTTTGGTGATTGGATAGACCTTGGTCTAGATGCTGATGTCAAGTCAAGAAATGCATATGACTACCTGTCCCATTGACAATTAGAAATGCTTACTAGCCGCCAGATTTGAATCCTAGGCGAAGCTCGGGATTTACCACAACGTATCAAATGTCTTTAAAGGCCTGTAATGTTGTTTAACTCGGCATCGAAGCTATTTTCTGTCGTTGTCGAGCAGGTCCGGGTATTGCGACGGAAATGCGGTAACCAGGGTGATGATTTTAAGTTTGTTGAGCACGACGCGTTTCAGGCACTCACAGTGGGAACTCGATTTACTAACAGTGCAACGTTCAAGGCCGTGCAAGACATTAATTCACGGTCAAATTGTTGAGAAGAATTATCCATCAATATACATTGTTCAAGGAATGTCTATAGTCTAGGTCTAAGTCTACTTTATAATCGTATCTCGTCAAAGACGACCGGTCGCACTCGTGCATCGCCCTCTATAAACATAAGGATCGTGTTCGTTATTATCGCGTTGGATCGTTCGTCATATTGCTACCGGTAGCAGCGCGGTCTTTGTTTTCTCTTCTTCTTCTTCTTCTTTACTGGCGGGTGTTGATTGGAATTCGAGTCTCATTGGAATCTAACATCTATGCCTTAGCTCCTGTAACATTACAAATCTTAGTCAAACAAGTGTTCTTTTGCTGTCCACGAATGGTGTCCAGGTCCGATTTACTCAGTCCTGGGTCGCTTCCGGGACTCACCATTCTCTCCCTGCTCCTCAAAGTACTCCAGGCTTCCCTTGGGATCAGCCTTCATGGTCTTTCCGCCCTCCTGCCATCCGGCAGGGCACACCTCGCCGTACTCGTCGGTGAACTGGAAGGCCTTGACCAGGCGGATCGTCTCCTCGACGTCGCGGCCGACGGGGAGGTCGTTGACGGTGATCTGGCGGAGGACACCCTTGGGGTCGATGATGAAGAGGCCGCGGAGCGCGATGCCCTCGTCCTCGATGAGCACGCCGTAGCTGCGCGAGATCTTGGTGGACTTGTCGGCGATGAGGGGGAGCTCCAGGTCGGGGCCCAGGCCGCCCTGCTTGCGGGGCTTCTCAACCCACGCGAGGTGGGTGAAGTGGGAGTCGGTGGACACGCCGAGGACGGTGGTGTTGATCTCGCGGAAGCGGTCGAGGGCGTTGTTGTACTGGATGATCTCGGTGGGGCAGACGAAGGTGAAGTCCATGGGGTAGAAGAGAAGGACGACCCTACGAAGCATCAGTCAGTATAATCCGTCCATCCAGGTCCTCAGGGGGAGGGGAGAGAGCGTGAAATCGTACCATTGTCCCTTGAAGTCAGAGAGCTTGATGTCTCTGAACTCGCCTCCAGGGAAGAGGGTAGTAGCCGAGAAGTCGGGAGCAGGGCGCTGAACAAAAGCTGAAGACATTGTGATGGTAGTTATCGTGATATCGATTGAAGAAATCTAGAAGGACGAAAAGAAGGGGAGGGAGAAAAGGTTTAAAAGCTAAAAAGCTTCGACGCGACTAAAGAAACGTCTCAGGAAAAAGCAATCAATGTGGAGCCCGCGTTATCAGGGGCCGGGCCCGGTCATGGAACAAAATGGAAATCATCAAATTTTAGCGCCATATTAGCTGATACCGTGATAAACAGCCTAGACAGAGTGAGCAAGTAAAGTAAGTTTATGTAATTAGTGCTATTGACTCATGGAATTGTTGGTGGCATCTTTGATGGCGGTGACGCAAATGTGGACTGACTTATCTCTAGAACAGTGTGAATGCCGAACAAAACGCGTTGGACAAGAGAAAATTCCACGTGCGGTGCCTGCGGCGTCTGCGGAGTCGATGCAATTTGATTCCAAACCCGCAGCGCCAATCAACGCAATCAGTCTATATCCGGCCCGGTCTTCGGAGTAGCTCGGTTCGGAATACCGAGCTCACCCTACATCAATCTTATCAGTTGCGATATCGCTGCAGCATTCTTTGGAATCTCACGTTGATCATGATTGTTTCGTTATTCATCTGATAAAGAAAAATCTAGCTTTTTACTCCATTGCTAGTCTTTGTGCTCTGTGTGGTGAGGAGGTTGGCTTCGTGGATGATGTCTGACATGTCGTCGAGCGCTAATTGCGGGCTCAATGCACAGATCCTCAAAGCTACCTTTCCTCGAACCTTGGTGGTTAGAATGCCAGCTTTGTTACTCGAGATGAGGCTCTTTGAGATGCCACTGTTGATAACCTCAATCTCATCCTCCGTCAAACCCTCAGGCGCATAACGAAATGTTACAACGCCCAAGCTAGCAGCGCTGACAATCTCCCAGTCAGGTAACTTTCTCAACTCCTCCTCCGCCCGCTCAGCAAGATCAAATCCATGATCAATCATCCCCCCAATCCTCTCAACACCAATGACCCTCAGCGTAAACCACAACTTCATAGCACGACTCGCAGGCCTAGTGAGCTCCATACTATAATTCCAAAAGTTTGGAATATCCTCATCTTCAATCGCCACGCCGTCGCGCAGATAATCTCCCTCATTTGCAAAGCTTCTGACAAGGTTGGCTTTGTCTTTTACCAAGAGAAGACCGCAGCTGTAGGTTTGGAAGAGCCATTTGTGCGCGTCCCACGACATGCTGTCGGCGTACTTGAGCCCGTCGACTGTCTCATGGCGTGTTGTGGATAGAGTTGCTGAAGCGCCGTAAGCGCCGTCGACATGCAGCCAGATTTGTTCCCTTTTGCAAATCTCTGCGATTTCTGGTAGAGGATCGATGGCGCCCGTGTTTGTGGTTCCACAAGTCCCAACCACCAAAAATGGTACAAGACCTGCTTTGCGATCATCCTGAATTGTCTTTGCCAAAAGAGCTGGGTCAAGTCTGAAGTTCTCATCCGCAGGCAATCGTCGGATCTGCTCTTTATCGAACCCAAGCATTTTCATAGCTTTGGCAACAGAGTAATGCGTCTGGTCCGAGAGATACGCAACTGCCTTGCCCGTTTCACCATGTGGCACAAAACGATCCCTCGCAAGCACAATCCCCATCAAATTCGCCATTGAACCACCAGAGACACAGATCCCCCCTGCACTCGCGGGAAACCCAACTCTCCCCGCCAACCACTCAATCAACGTCTTCTCAATAACAACAGGTCCTGAGGCCTGAAGCTTGGAAGCACCGAGTGCATTAAATGCACTGGCCACTATATCGCCCAGCCAAGCGACGGGTGATGTAGGCGAGGGGATGAAGCCCATAAAGCGAGGGTGATTGACGCGCATGCGGTGGTCGAAAGCGGAGAAGGCTTCTTCCAGGACTTGGTCGATTGAGTGCGCTTGACCTGGTGCTCCTATCTTTTGGAGGTAGGGGACGTCTGAGGGTTGTGCGACTTTGATGATGGGGTCGTTTTTGACATCTTGAGTCGTTGATGCTAAGCGTTGTGTTATGGATTGCAGAGCTGAGCATACCGCTTCAAGCTCGTCGTTGTGATGAAGAGAACCCATGTTCAAATACTGCGAAATTGTCTGTTTGTGTCCTCAATTCTCGATGTCACCAAGGCCATCTTAAATATCTACGTCTCTTATTTTGTATTCGCATATATCTCCATAAACCAATACTACCCTCGCGCCCTCTATGTCCAGATCAGTGGGGTTATTCAATCCCCTTGGCATGTCAATCGTGCGCCTTTCGAGAAATAGATCCTGTCAGCATTTCACCAATGCTTAGCTGTCATAGGCTGTGAAACCTGAAACTAGCGACGTTGGATTATCTGACAAGACCCATTTTGCCGTTTTGGGTAATTCTTGGAGAGGTTCGGATATCCGAGATGTGCTGATGGAGCGATTTCTAATCTTGGATGGGTTATGGATGTTACTTTATGGAATAGCGAGATGTGGCAAGAGGATTGTTGGCGAGGATGTTACGTCGTAGCCGGTTTGTTGTACATGCATTGCGATAACGGTGACAATCTCAAGGCGCGTAAAACGTCTTATGATTGATATAGTAGTAAGCATAGACATAGCCTACAATGCCTAGTAAACCTTTCGCATTGGCGCGAGCCAACAGTGAATTAAATAATATAGCTCTTTGTCCATAGGAGGTGGCCTGGTGGCTTTGTGCCTGCCCATTGACCATTTAGCTTAAAGCTGTTGACACATGGTTCCTCCCGGCGGCATCCAACTGAGTATATTAACCAGAGGTAGCAAGAAGCGCGCGTCTCCCAGTTCACACCTTTGAAGCTTCTCCGAATCCCGGAACCCCGCATACCTCATGTCCGGATGACGGCCTTCCAAGGTAGGGCCGAATAAACCAGGCGAGGTACAGACTCTGGACTCACTTGCCGCCCCAGTACCTGTACGAATGACTTAACGACGGCGCCCTCCGCTTCGAAAAGAGCAAGTTATGTCTTGGGAGCGGAATCGCCAACCGGAAATCCGGGAACATGGAACGCAAATGCCCCCGTTGCCGGATTATGGCGATCTTCAACGCTCAGCGGTTTCCCGTCAGAAGGAATAGCTATTCTCAGCGTGTGGCTCGGCTCATTGAGCTGGATGCCAAAGACAGCCGAAGTCGCTCCTTGTGCAGTGTACATATGTTCCTCCATCTCGCCCTTCAGTACTGAGTGATTAACAGTTGCGTAATGCTCGATATTCATCACGCCTGAGTCTATATCGACAAACTCACTAGCCTTCCAAGATCGGGGTGCCGGATCCAAGGGCATGCGTCGCTCCCTCACGCTTGAAGGTGGTTCCAGCCGCGGGCTGTTTTGAGGGTTGGTTGCGTGAATTTTCAGATGTGTTATCTTGAGATTGTTCCTGTCTAAGCCTGACCCGATCATAAATGACTGCTGGTGTGACGGCAACGTAAACTCGAGGGCCGCCAGATTAGGCGGTGTTCGATCAAATAGTACGAGCATCTTATCAGATGAAAGGCGACGCTGTACCAAGATAGGTGCTCGTGGTTTGATCTTATCCTCTTCACCATTTGGATTGACCACTTCGGCGAACTCGGGACTTACGGCCAAGTCAGGGAACTGGACCAGTATCTCTGACCGCATGATGAACCCATACTTTGGCATCTGTTGACAGTAGCCCAAACCTTCAAGAGGTTTGTTGATATAATCCTGGAGCTGCTTTTTGATAGCTAACCGAGCGTAATCTTCAGATGTAGACTGATTCGCTAGGCTGAGAGCACCATCTATTAATGCCTCAGTCCAATTCTCATCAATGTGGAAGAAACGCAACGTCTCGGGGGGTACTTGGGATGTATCCGTGATGAGATAATGCGCAGGAATGTCAGCTAGATGGAGCTTATCGAGAATCCATGACTGAACCGTCAAGTAATCAGGGTCGGTAGAGATCCTCTGGTGAGTAACGGGCGTATCGCTAGACTCCCCTCTGCGCCAACGGTTTGTTGAGACTTGTGGTGAAGAGGGAGAGGCAAATTTTTCGTTCATTCCTTGCAGCCTTGAGATGGCTTTGGCCGCCTCGCTCAAGACGGTATCACTGGATGCCCCTAGGGTCATGTGGACTCCTTGCTTGGATTTATAGAGAGCCTCTTTGGACAAGTCACCCCGAAGACGTGCAAGAGCAGACGCGAATGTGGAATCTCCCTGACCGAGTGTTCGACCAACCTGCCAGGCTGACGAGTATGACAAATCCATCAAGCCAAGGTCTGGGTCCAAGATGTTCAGATCGGCACCAACGTCCGTCTGGAATGTCATGCCACTCTGTCGTGGATGTCGCACTTTGATGGGAACAAGTGGTCCTCGAAGTAAGCCAGCCGTAACCTCTCCTGTTACTGTTCGATATCTCGTCAGGGTGAATCCCTCCTCCAAGCGCTTGGTGACCAGCTTTTCCATTTCTGTCTTGTCGGTCCTGATTGACCCCTTGAGATCGGTATACAAAACAGATAGATCATCGCCTAGCTTCTCAAACGTGGGGATAACACTTGAAGCGTCTGGTGGTAGTGAAGTGTAGGACCATGAATAGAGGCTTGTCATGACCACTCGAGCCTTGCTACCTGCGCTCAGATCAGGCGGAGTGCAGCCATGGATGCCTTGAAGAGAGATGAGGTGTGCGTAGAGTGTAGTTGGAGTGGTAATAGTCTGCGGAGCGATACGTGGGGAAATGCTGAGAGCAAAGGTCCCTGGTTCTCCGTCTGTCTCAGCAGTTGACAACATCCCGTCCGTGGCTACTGTGCGGACATGCGAAAGGAAACGAAACATCTTGACGTCTCCTTTGGATACCTGATTGCCGTTCGTATCCTCGGAAGTCCTGACAAAGAGCTTATGGAAGAGAGCGGCAGGGAAGGTGATTAGGTCTATAGTATCCGATGACTTCTTGGCCCTTTGTTCGTCATCTGGCTTGGCTATAAAGACACCTCTTCCAGAAGGCCGAGGAACCTTGCCCTCTGCTGTCGCATCTTTGACGTTGAGGGTGAACCCTAGCGTCTCTGTTGGTTCTTCCGTCGGACCTATGCCAAGATAATCACTGCGCTCATTGGCATCCAATGCCAACTCTTCTGCCGTGAAGACGACCAATGCAAGCCATGGAACAGAGTTGAGAGAGTCAGCATCGTGAGCATCTCTGTCAACAACTTCCCGTTCCCATGGACACTGCGGATTCTTCAACACAATATGCGGAAGAGTGAGAGGTTGAGCAGTGTGACCTGGGGTGGGGAAAACCGACACAACTGCGTCTTCGGGGAGGCTATACTGCGGTGCTAGCAAATGCTGCTGTTGTCGCATATTCACAGTCCTGCGTTGCCGGGGTTTCGTAGTGTCTTTGTCGATCAGGTTGGGATCTCCATTTCGACCGTCTGGGAGCGTAGCTGTGTGCTTGCCAGCATTCAGAGACGGCACGTAGTATGAGCTGAACTGGGCGTAACCAGCAGCTAGCGTGGGTGGTTTGTTTATCCGTAGACGCTGCTCATGGCGCAGTGTAAGGTGTCGATATTGCTGATTCAAAAGAGGCATCTTGGCGGTTGTCTCCCTATTATTCTCGCCTGAGAAATGACGAACATGAATGCTCGAAAGTTGAAGGGGGGAGGGTTAAGTTTCTCTGTTCTCATGGTGGTGGATCAGTGGTGGTTAATGCAGGACGAAGGGGTCTGTGTATAGGGTGCTAAGAATCCGACTATTGATTTGCCCCACACACCCTTTCCTCAGCTGCTCAGATATCAGAGTCTAGACTACTCGTGGATCTGACCCCCATTCTTCGCACGAGGGTCAGATCATTCCCTGCCTCCTCAAAACTAAATATTTTTCTTTCGAAATCTAGCTAACTCGCGAGTACCTAATTGGAAACTACCTGTATAATCTGTGCAATGCAATCCAAAACAGAACCGCTAATGGAATACATTCAGATGCCGCCGCAAATCAACCAACCATCACGCTTGAACTCTCTATTTGTCATTCCAGGGCCTGGCAGTTACAAAAAGATTGCTAAATGTGATGATAGCCGCGGGGTTCACGAAAGTCTGGAACCGAAGGAACCAGCTGAAGCATTGTGGCAGGCCGCAAACGAATGGAGTCAGCCTATTTGGGTTGGGTTGTCATCAACTACTCCGATAATGGCCTGCAGTTCTTTCTCTCCGATGGCAATTTCTACCAAGAGGTCCGACTACCAGCTGGCCCAGGGGACAAGATGAGTTTTTATCCATCACCATGGCTTCCGCTCAAGAAGCCTAATGATCCCAAGAAGGTCCTTGGATGGGATATCCAGCAACTATCATGCCTAGTCGAGACTCTAGCAAAGTCTACCCCGTACCTGGGAAAGTTTATCGAAATGGTTCAACGCGCCTCAGCTACAAAGATGCCTACCCCTGGCTATGCTGAGTTTGGAAGTGCTCTTACTGGACGTCCCCTAGCTCTGACTTACATGGCATGGTCCCTAGAGCTTGTAGGACCAGACTGGGCAAGCCAAATGGACGATGATCCAGCTTCAAAACGGACTCTACTACCGCCGGACACAGAGGACAAAGATCCGCTCGAACAATATTCCTTTCCTATCAAGATTGGCGACGAGATACCGGGCTTTGATGGGCTTGTCGGTTATTTTCTACCAAAGACTACTGAGGATGTAGAGCTGGGCGATGCCTTGGATCTCGCCAGGATATACTCGCATTTCGCTATAGCAAAGCCGGCTGCAACAACTACGACGAGCGATAATACAATCTTCTCCAACTCTCATCCCTTTGTTTTCCAAGAATTGGACTCCTAGTTAAAGGTGAATGGCTTCTCTAAAAGCGCCCAGAGTACTAGCCAGGTAGATATAGGAATTAGATAGAAGCTTATAAGCCACGTTTTAAAACATTTATTTATGTCCTGCAGAATGAGCATAGAAAGATTCAGTCAGGCAGAAATATCAAGAATAGTCTGAAAAATTAGAATTCTCTGAAAACGAGACTGTCTCATTTTCACAACAGATACAGGAGAGCCGGGAAAGTAAAGAGTATATGATTAGATATCATAAGACGAAACTCAAGCAATGCGTGCTACTGCCGCTTTTAGGGCCATCTGTCAGCCCCCTCAGCCTGCCTTTAGGGAGCACTGGCTGTACTTACGCCCTGGCTCCTGTTCTTCCTTCTAGAAGTATAAACTAATAGTAACTAACAGAACCTGACATGACCTAAAGTATATTATTTACGTAAAGCTGTTAGTTCTCTTATGGCCTTTATAGCCTCTGTAATACGTTCTAAATAAATAAATATAAATAATAGTCTAGCTTCTACATAATAGGAAATTTAACTGTCCCTAGCTTAAGCAACGCGCGCCCTGTCCCGCGAATTAACAGTATGATTCAATGCTTGTTTATATACTTTCAAACAATAGTAAGCACTTCTATCTGACTTTCGCCAAACCATCCAGCCATATCTTCCAGATACTTTCCACGATACTCATCATGAAATGTTAAGAGCCCAACTCTTCGAAAATGATTCTTGCTTCCGAATATCGGCGTGATAAGAAGCCCGAAGCCATCCCAGCCTTCTTCAGTAGACCCAACCGCTAAAGCATACAGTTCGGGAAAGGCGCCTCCTGGGTCCATGCTTTCTGGGGGTCTATTTATGTCAGTCGTGATCTGTGGGAGTAATTCTGAAACATTATCAGGAAAGAATTTTGCCGGTACTTGGAAGAATCCTTGCGATGATAGCTTCCAGGCGCACATAAACTTGGGATCCGACGACCGGGTCACGGCAGCTTTGCACAGCTTACCACGGACTTCTAAATAGCCCGCTCTAACGCGACCGTATGGATCCGCATCGGCTGATGAGTCGACCAATGTTGTCGAGCATGAAATAAACTCAAGAGCGGATACTCCCTTGAATCTCGTGAACTGAAAGTCTTCAAAGTCGACTTCCTTATTGGCGGAAGCCCAGGACCAGCTAGGTGCCACGTAGCCCTGCCGGGCAACGATGGCCGATGATTTATCATTAGTCCCATCGGTGATAGGGGCGACTATCGGACCTTCGATGTTTTGTGTTCTCTCCGAGACACGCCATAAAAGTGCCTCGGGAAGGCTGCTCTTCCAGATTCCAGCTAGGTAAACTTCCCCAGGGGGTGGTTTGCATGCATGAATTATGCCTGAGATAGCTGGGAGGCGATCACTGCTAAAAGTCAAAGCACGCCGGGAATACTCCTCGATAAAACGGAACCACCACCTTGACTTCTTCCACGAATCAAAGTGTACAATAGATTTGAAACGAGAGAAGTCTTTTAAGTTATCATGAGTACACTCATCCTGTGTGAGAGAACAGCATTCGAAATACATTTGGTAAGACCCAAAGTAAAGAATACGTGAAGAAAGCATTGTCTCTTGGACTACCCATCCGCGGTTTATCAGGACAGATTCGGGTTCCTTTCCAAGAACTTGTGATTGATCGTGAAAGAAACCAACATCCCTGACACGAGCTAAACGTTCATTCAGATCTGTAGGGGGCTCCTTCATACGGTGAAACCCGGGGTACCAAATTTTGATTGTGTTGATAGGGTTGCCATGCGAATCGCGGTACTGAAGTTCGCATGGCCGATAGTCATGGTCATCGTGCAATGGGCGTTTATGCAAAAAACCCACGGATGAGTCTTTAGCTCCAGGTACAGCAATAGTAAGAGCAGCGCCTTGAAACACGGAGGACATCCGGGGGCATTCTGTTTCCCAGTCCTTCTCATCGTCTTGTATGATACAAAGCGAGTCTATCCATAAGAATTGGTAACCTAGTTGGTTCGTGGCAATAACAGCATCACGGAATGTAGCTGGTAGATTTCCGGCTGGGATTCCACGCATATGCTCTTGAAGGTTGGATCTTTGTGTTAACGCTGGCTTGAAATCTCCCCATCTATGGGAGAGTGTAACATATTTGTATCTTTGTGACGGATGTGTGAGCACAAGTTTGATGCTCGTAGTGTTGTCGATGATTTGTAGAAGACGTGTCGGGTTGCAAGCAGGAGCTACTTTGCAACTCGGATGATGATTTTGACAGTTTGTGACCCATTTTTTAGCAAGGCTAAAATCGGCTGTAGCATCGCACTGTCTTCGCCGTGGTACCTCTCCAGGAGTATCAAATGGGGGCTCGTCTGAACAACAGGTTAGAACCAAGGAGACACTCGGGGACGATGGGTGTTTCTTGCCAGCTTTTACTGCAATAGCAAACTCAGCCATCCGAACCAACGGGTAGGATAACGGAGTAGCATGTTTCATAAGTATGTTGAGGCGATAAGGGCTCAGAAGATGCCCAGGGCTGAATACGAGGTGCAATTGTGGCCGACTGGGCTCTAGTTGATCGATGAGGGATTCGATTGCTCGCAGTGACTTGCCCTCGTCTTGGCTTTTGCGTAGCGCATAGCAAGTATACACATAGCCATTGTATAGAAGTTTGCATAGCTGGCAGCCATTCTGCATGGAACCTTTGAGAGCTGGCAGTGACCCGTGATGAAGATATATCTTATAGTTATTGTCCTTAGCCTCTACGAAACTTTCAGGACGGACACAATTTTGCTCAAAATCCAGACAGACGCTGCATAAGGTTGATGCGGCATTGCGAGGCAATCGACTCAGCACGGGACCGTATACAGGGCCGTGGATTTCGCCTCGATAAATTACTCCAGAAATCCCCGATTCGAATGCGTCCAAGGGGGATTTGATGAATGATGTTCTAGTCGTCGTTTTATCCGGAAAGCCTTTCCGCTCTAGCAATCGGCCCGTCATCCTGGTACAATGTCTAAGTTGTGAGCTAGATGTGTTATTTGCAGTTGAGACTTGTGGCTAAGAGCTTAAATTAGCAGAGAGAACTTATATACTTTTCACAATGTTTTATGTTCAGAAACTCTTAAGTTTATACCTAATGATATGCGTGCTGGCAGGTTTTTAAAGCTGTCTTGGTGGCGCAGCAAGGCGGACATCTGTGCATTGTTGGGTGCCTTGGCGGCAAGGAGAGCCATTTGTTTGGTCCAAGCGAGGGACTGGTTTTTACAGACAACAGCCAACAGGCAATGGGATTGAAATTGGAAACGATCGGCTTTAGTAATCGAATTAACTACAAGGAGCTGCTGTATATCTTAAAGGGGGCTATTAAACTGCAGGCAGGGCATTTTAACTACAGAGTTAGGCAGTAATAGTATTAAATATAGAGGTCTCTAATAATATAATATAGATTGATCCAGATTAGATGGCTCGCTATAATAACCCGGACTTTAAATAAGGACCCCAAAAACGGGCGTCACTTAGGTAGTTAAACTAGACAATCTCGTCGCTTTCTCTAAAGTACATGAATTGAAATGCAATGCACTGACTTACGCTTCAGCTGTTGTGATTGGATACTGATGACGCTAAGTATCGTTCTCTGCGAGGCTTATGCGTTATTTAACTAATTCTCACTCGCTAATCTCTCATCCTGATACTTCGCTTCAGCAGATATACTGAACAACTGATCTAAGTGACGATCAAAAAGAACCAGTAATGATAAGGAAAACACGTCGCGGTGCTCGGGGTACTAAGAAAGTCACCACGGGATGTCTGACATGCAAGTAAGGAACCCCTCAGCACCCAATAGAATCATCTTGTTAACCCAGCAGTAGAAGCAGGCACAAGAAGTGCGACGAGGCAAGGCCCGCTTGCTCACCTTGTATAAGAGCGGGATGGAAATGTGACTTCGCCTCGTCGGCTTCCCGCGGGGCACCGCGTCACACTGCGACTCCTCTCATTTGTAGTCTGCGATACCCTTCTGCCAAGCCTCTACTCGCTGGCGAGTATCAGCACATGGAGTACTTCCGGGTCGTGTGTGCTGGGGAATTTTCTTTATTTTTCGAAGTCGCTGAATGGGAAGATATTATCATCCAGGGCACTCTCGCTGAACCAGCATTGCATCATGCAGCTCTGGCGATCGGGGCTATGGCAAGCAGGCGTTATCATCCTAACGTATGGCAAAGCACCGCAGCGATTATTTTTTCACTACGGCATTATAGTATGGCCATCCTGGATCTCCAAGGTCGACTTGATGGATCTCCCCGGAGTATAGAGCTTGCTGCTTTGGCGAGCGTGCTCTTCAGCTATATTGAATTTCTTCTAGATATCGATAATCGGGTGGAGGTGCATATGCAGGCAACCTGTTCCATGATTGAGAATCTACTCGCGAGGCATGATATGACACTTTCGTTCTTTAGTCTGGCTGGGTCAAATAGCCAGGCTGGCAGTTCATCTACGAGGTATCATCTACTTTCTGGTGCTATGCATCGGCTCACTACGCAAATGACGTCTTTGCAGCATTTTGCTTGAACAAAACTGGCAAATAAATAGTTTAACTTTATCAAAATAATATTTAATTTATTAGGTCTATCGATCTGACCTCAAAGGCATTATGCGATGTAATAAGTATATAATGATATACACTGGGCAGCAATTGCTTACCGGTCTAGCTTTCTGCCATTGGACGATATGGATGTGGAACACTGTGACCAATAGCAGTCTTTAAAGCGTAACTTTCGTGTTTTGATTCGACCACGAAACCCAAAGCCAGGGAGAAGTCGAATCACTAACCCCAATTGGCAAAAAGTGTCATGATCTTGCTACGCCACTGACAGCCAGGGAGGTGAAAGGCTTTGTGTATAGTTGAATAAAATCAGGAATCTGCAAATGCCGAGTTTCGGTCTTTTGCGAGACAGAAACGGGATATAAAGCCAGACGTAAAGGCAACTATTTGACAGTTTCAACTTCACCACTCATCCAACATCAGTTTATACCCGGCATACTAACTAAGTAGAATCAACCATGGCCTTCTCCCACTCAACCTACACTACAACCCGCGCACTCACCTACTCTTACATTCACATCCCGCCCCAGCTCCCAAACACTCAATACCTTCTCTTCCTACATGGCTTGCCCTCAACCTCGTATCACTGGCGCCATCAGATTTCCTTCTTCAAGGCAAAGGGCTACGGTATCATAGCACCGGACTTACTTGGCTTTGGGGAAACGTCAAGACCGACTGAGCTGGAGATGTACAAGGGTGAGGATATGGCAAGGGATATCGTTGAAATCTTGACGTCAGAGGGCGTCGGAACTATTGTGGGCGTGGCACATGACTGGTATGTTAAGTTCATTCTCCTTCCTGGCTATCAAATTCAAGTTGCTCTAAATGGATAGAGGATTGCAACGATCCTGACGCTTCATCCTTTAGGGGCTGTTTCCTTTTGTCACGACTAGCAAATTATCATCCCGATCGCTTTTCAGCCTATGTGTACATCGACCACGGATACATGCCCCCTAGCCGTAGCCTCACTACCGCGACGGTACAACATATCAATAGATCGGTGGAAGCAAAGCTTGGGTTTTCGATCCTTGGGTATTTCCTTCTTTTCGATGACGACGATGCTCCCACGCTTCTAGATGAACATGTAAGTTCCTTCCTCGGTCGTTAGCATTTCGACTTGCTAAACTATTTGCAATACTGCAGTCCGAATCGGTAGAGTCACTATACTTTAGTACCGATGAAGAGATCACCAAAAAATACAAGGGCGCTTTAGGCGGTCTGCGCTCTTGGTTGACCGAGGGTAAGACCACCGAGTTGCCAGCCTATTTGACATCAGAGGTAGAAGTTCAACGCTTGATGCATAATGTTACATGAGAATTAACATACATGGAATAGGATCACAAATATTATAAACACGCCTTCTCCAAGGAGAAAGGTGGCTATGGACCTGCGATAAACTGGTATAGGGCTGGTCTGCGTAACATCAACGAAGAAGATGAGCGAAGTATGCCATCCCCCTCCATGAGCCGTATCTCCATTTCTGAATACCTGGAGACTACTGTCTGATACCTCGGATTCCATATTTTACTAACACAAATCAGAAATTACAACGGATGCCCATATCCTAACTCGCCCAACCCTCTTGATCGCGTCCACGAACGTCATTACCGCCGCGATGGATATACCAGAGCAGATGCGTCCTTTCGTGGCCGATCTCACAGTTGAGCAAGTTGCTGGTGGACATTGGCTCCAGCTAGAAAAGCCAGTTGATGTGAATCAAATTCTGGATAAGTTTGTAACGAAGGTTGGAAACTGACTGGGTCGACTGGGCAAGTATTGGAAGAGAGCATGAGATTCACAGACCTTAACATCTATTGTAATCTGAACATGCTTTGTAAGCAGAGGATCCCATTGCTTCGTAGTGTTTTATTTAATCATTTGCCGCTTGCGCCTCGGGACTGCGGAAGCTTAAAAACAAGTAGTCCCAGAAGCTGTGGCCAAATCTACAGATAGCTTTTGAAGTTTCTTTTTAGCATGTTGTCAAGGTCTGTGATGATAATTTAGACCTAAACTGGGTAGGGGGTTCTGAAGCAGCCCACAATGCTATAGCGACTCGCATGTCCATAGGCCAGCGAAAACAAGGAATCGCACAGACGTCTGCCGAATCAGAGACGTCTCTGACCGAGCTGGTACGGCAGGATCCGAGTATCCGAGGATCAACGGAGAGATGTCCGAAAAGCAGAGTCGCGCTAATTCCTGTTGATCCAGCGCTATCCGTATATGATCCTATCGGCAAGGCACCAAGCAGGAACGGGAACTTCATACTTGAAGGTTTCTTTGTGAATTACTAGCTTGGAAACCCCACGCTCCGTGTATCCTGCTAGTGCTGACTCTGAGCTGTATCGGAACCAAACTATTCTCCGTGGCTGGAAAACCTTAACCGCATAGTCCGCAAGACGAGATATGAAAGGATCCAAATGTGATGACGGATTTCAAGATGCGTCACTAGGTACCGAGTTCTTTTGTCAAAGTGCCACTGTGCCAAGTAATAGTCCTGAGAAACAAGCTCTTTTCATGGCACATGCCATGTGGACTAGCTCTCGGACCCTCGCACCAGCTTACTCGGTAAGTAAGCAGAAGCTTTACTGGTCTGGGGTAATAAGCAGTTCGGAGAGTTATGAATAAAGCACTCCAAATAAACTAGCTCTGAACATGAAATAGTCCCATATGTCATATCAAACGCGATTGACTGTGAAGGTAGCTCGGCATTTTTAAGGCTTGCGTCGAGAATTACTGGGGTGTTTTTGGGCCAGCTTCTTACTAAAAAGGCTGTATGCAAGCATAAGCTCATGGCCTTGAGAGGAACACCCGCTGCCCGTAATAAACCGTATCACATTTATCACTTTGCATGGGCCATATTTGCTCTGCCTGGGGAACTTCTATTGTGTTACAGTAAAGGATTGCTGACAGGAAGCCGGCAACTTGTCATCTCTTGGCATTAAAGTCTCCGCTGAGCAAGTCAAAAAACGAAGCAATTCTCCTAACCTGCAGCTGGATATCGAGATCAAGCGCTGCACTGCACTTGGGCGGCCAATAGGGACTCATCGATCCGTATGGGGAGCGGGCCGTAAGACTGCCAAGGATCTCGATGTTGAATGCGGATCCTCAGCTCCGTGTAGATCTCACCCGTTTGTGGTCGTGCAGGTCTGACCTTGTCGGCCTCGGACTTGGTCGCAGTCTGGTTGCTATAGAAGATTAGCCTTCGAGCTATCACAGATTGAACAGCCTACTACGTAGATTATGTGTCACGAGAACGGTGGAAGGATTCACTGTGTTGCTTTAGTCCGTTTGAGGCCAAATGGGGGTTGAAGTAGGTTGATCACGTTGTTCTTTCAGCTATCAAAGTACCAGCGTCTTGATATCCAGAGTACTATAAATATGTGTTGAATTCCTGCTGCTCTTGTATCGTCAACAAGCATTCCAAGTTCCCAATCGACTGGTCTAAAAGTCAAAAAAACAAGTCCTTCTGAACCGTCTTTCACCTCCAGCAGCCAAGATGATCTCAGTAAGTCCTGAAACCAACCGTATGACAGAGACACTAACAATATCAGCTCCGTACCACTTTGGCCCTCCTCGTACTTCCAGCTCTTGCTGCAGCCGGCAATGTCTGTCTCGGAGTCTTTGCTGTCGCTGGTCTCGGCGACGCCCCTCCTGACATCTACTACGTCGCCTTCGCCGCAGGATCCCCCTGTGACGAAAGTCGATCAGCCAGTCTGACCGATACTCTCAATGAGAATTGGTGTTCCATTGCCAACCGCGCCCCTCAGTTCGACATGTGCGGCAGCACTGCGACCATCTTCAATGCTGGAGAGCCCATTGGCGATGATGAGGATTTCAACGACTGCGGTGCCAAGTTGAGCATCAACGGAGAGGAGTTTGATGGTGAGGTTCTTGATGATCTGGCGGAGGATAACCCTTGCAGTGCTACTTGCAACAACGGTATTGCTTTTGGTAATATTGGTGGTCTGAGACATTACGTTGATGTACCTATGTGCGACTAGTGGCTGGGGACTTTTCCCGATGATGATAAGAGAAAGGGCTTGGTATAAACTTATGATGGCTACCTATTTGAGAATACAATTGCTTTCATTGGAAGAATATATCCGGTAACTGAAGATTCTATTAAGAATAGTGAGATTTGTCTACAACTGGCGGCGATTGTGGTAGTGCTAGACTGCAGACAGCTTAAATTTCAGACGCTGGATCTAGCTGAATACTCGATTCTACAACTCGGAGGATGATGGGGCAAGGGCCGAAACAACAGCGTCTGTGTCGGCAAAACACCCAGCAAATCTGGGCAAATGGCCCATTGAAGAGTCTATCTACGATCTTATGGAAACACATGTCTAAGTTGTGAGCTAGAACTGTTACTTGCAGTTCAGGCTTGTGGTTGAGAGCTTATTCCGGCATAGAGAACCTAGTTATGGAAACACAGTAGCCCTTATCGCTATCAAGACCTAAGAATACGGGTAAGTGATAATAAGCTCGCCATTTAAATCCAATGAAAGACGAATCTACCTCTTGCTGAAGCCATCAGGATGCCTCTGTAAATAACAAAGCAGGTCCCAATCGAGATTGTCTCCTAACCTTGCCTCTTAATCGTTTGCCATTAGAGTTTATATCCCGTCTTTCCTTCCCCCTAGCAAATCCGCAGACCATCCTTTTGGGGCCGCAACCAAACAAGAAACATACTGCCACAGAGGCGCCCTATTCGTTTGAGCCTCAAAGCTGTCTGAAAGTCAATTCTCAACCGAATTCCCAAAGTAGTACCAAGCAGCTAGCAGGAAGCATATGAGGGCTAAGAGTCCGAGCCAATCTGGCCAATCTGTTTCCGCTTGGACCTCATTATAGTTCCGCTGCTCCGTTCTCAACGGGCTTTGCCGTGGTGCAACATCGCTGTGCGTCACTGGCAAAGATTGCTGAAATTGATATACCCTGCTTGAATAATCGTAGTTTCTCCCAGCGTACGCAGTGGTAGGGACCGGAGCATACGATCGGGGGATTGGCGTCGTCGAGCTTTGGGTGAATGTTCCATAAGAAGCTGAGAGGGGGGAGCTAGATATCCTGGCAGAACTCGTTCCACGACCACGGCCTTGAGTGAGCCCTTGATTAGTATGACTGACACTGGCGGGAACGGGGACTCCGCTGTAAGCTGAAGGAGCTACCCGCTCGAATATGCCATGGCCTTTCAGTCTAATGGACAGTTCCCCAAGATTTTGCTTCCACAATTCTGAGGTAAGTATTTGGTATGACGTTGTCTCCAGGTGGAGATCGTTATCGCGCCGCAGGGTCGGAGAGCTACAAATGGAATTTTGTGAATATCCTTGAGGTTAACATAGGAATTCTTTTTCATCGTCTTTCCGTGCGCAGCAATAAGATCGCAGCGGGTGTCTGGATGTCTGGCGGGACGTATTGCGAGGTAGGATTGTCGTCGGATGGGATCCGGATGGCGATTCTCGATGGGTGTACCGTCGAAGCTCGTCACCTAGTAGTGTTTGTTAGCAATGACGTGTGTCAAAGTAAGCTGTAGCATGGGAAATTTGAAAACTGACAACAAAAACTGCCACCTTCCCATGATAAATTTCCTTTGAGAGGATAACAACTGGATGGTTGAAGATGCCGCTTGTGATAGGCACGGTCGTTGTTATCCTCGCCTCAACCTCTGCCTTGTTTGGTAGCATCATTATTCGGCCCTCTAGGTGTGGACACTCTTTGGTTTGGTGAGGATGAAGCATGGTTAAGAGAGGTTCTTGATTCAGAAATGCGAGAGCAGCATTAATCTTTTGCTATATGATAGTATCGACGAGAGAACTTGAATGCGGTACAAGGATGAATCAACATCGCCACCAAGGCAGATTTGACTTGTAGAAGACGTTAGCATGCAGAGAGAGTTAGCCGCTGAAAATGTTCAAATGGAACTCGGCGCAGCCTGTAAAGCTGGCTAATGATGCGACCCGCGGCCGCGCCAGGTCAATTACCTGCCAAGTGTAACGTGAGTGGGGGGAGGATTGAAAATTGGCTGAGCATGTAGGACTTTTGTGTTGTGTCTATGCCCCATTGGCTTTTGCCATTGGGAGGCTAATTTTACCCCCAATAGCGTTGCTTGAAATATGCTGTTGGCCGTTGCGATCTTGGGCAATGAGGTGGTGAGACCCGGAGTGTGATTGGTCTATCAGAGAGGAAAGAGAAAAGAAAAGCATTGCAAGGCAGAACTTCAGGTCATTCAGTTGCAAGGTTACTTACCAATCTCGAGATAGCCAATAACTAAACCGCTTGATTCTTCCCTTTCTTAATAGAGTTTACCTCCTTTAAATATAAAAAGTAGCTATGAGTTCGGAAACGAAAATAGTCACTATTAATATGTAATTAAGTACATAATGCAGTAAGCGGCTCTTGACCTAGTAAGCATACAGGGGCTGTACTGTAATCCTAAAAGGGCAAAAATGCGGGGTTTGAATTATTCTATACTAAGGTACTTCAACGAGGAGCGGAAGTGTAGGGTATTATTCTACCTCAACATCCTCACGTCTAGCGAACTCTTAGCTTGAATAGTCCTTTCCCTCTAATATTTAGTTACGTCCCACCCTATGATGGCGGATCCACTCTCCATCGCTGGGCTTATACTCGCCGTTGGCAGCGCCATCAATACCTTGATTAGCATCTCGGTCGATGCTAGAGATGCGCCTACCGATATACAGAAACTTCGCAACGAGCTGTTGGTAGGGCTCTTAGCGTTGAATGGAGCGCTGCAACACTTCCAGAACCAGACACAATCAAGTCAATGGTCATCCCAGCAGTTTATCCAGATGCTGCAGACGGCCTGTGATACTATTGAAACGTTGAAGCGTGATGTTGAAAAGCCGCAGTCGCGATTGGCACGCTCGACCCAGCGGTTGACTTGGTATTGGAAGAAAGACGATTTGGCCAAACATTTGGCGCGGATTGAGAGGGTGAAGACATGGTTTCTAATCGCCATGACGACAGACAGGCTGTGAGTTTCAAGGGAGCCTGTCGAAGATCTCATACGAAGGGTATCTAATCGGGTTATTCAGCTCATCGAATCACGAAGTCTTGTTGCAGATACAAGAACTCAAACTTTCTATCGAGCAAGGCCAAGGTAGCCAGACGGCTGAACCTAGAGGTAGGTCCCAAGGCTACGTGTGAAAGCTATTAACTGTGGATCTAGAGGTGAAACACAAGCAGCTGATTCAGTGCCTGGCGCCTATTGGACCAGAAACAATCCATTCAAAGGCTTTGAGCGAGCATCAACTAGGAACGTCGAACTGGTTCACGGAAGGGCCGCTTCAACAGTTTCTCAACATCAGTGACAAGCAAGGCGCCATTCTCTGGCTTAAGGGAAAGTGTAAGCTCATGCAACAACCCGCCTCTATCAGCCATTTTATCTGACAAGCTACTTAAGCGGGATCGGGGAAAACTACGCTTTTGTAAGTTCAAGTGTCATCATCATAGCGCCCGTTAACACTCTCTCAGAGCCTATGTAATAGAATATCTGAGAACTAAGCCTCAAGTTGCTAGAGTGCTGCCATTCTATTGCTCATTCGACAACTCGAACCTCCAGACTCTCTCAAATATCTTGGGCTCATTCATTGTACAGCTATCGTCTGAAGTACCAGCTATTCTCGAAGAGCTTGTGGCCAAAGCTGAGGCTAGAAAAAGTAAGGCTCAAGAGCCCAGCTTTTCAGCCATGGAGTTAGAGGAGGTCCTCATTAAGCACGTTCCAGCCAAAGGCTTGACATATCTTATCCTTGATGCAGTTAACGAAAGCGAAATCAGCACCGAGCTAGAAACCTTATGTTACAGGCTAGCAGCAAGTTGCCCAAACTTGAGGATTATCGTTTCTAGCACATCCGATTGGTCTCTCAGCACTGATCCGTCTGCCATACGCTTTGGCGCACAAATGAACACCCACGATGTTGATAACGATATTTGGATCTATATCGACCGTAGGCTCAAGCTCGACAAGACACTCAGTATGCTCAGCGAAAGCCTCAAAGAAGAGGTTCGAAATTCCGTGCTCAGCAAGTCAAATGGAATGTAGGTCCAAATTATGTTTATGTCTCCTTTATACGTATAACTAATTGCTACTGTTTAGGTTCCGCTATGCTCAGTGTGAAATTGATCATCTTGCGTCTCAACGAACTGGTCGAGGGGTACGTAGGGCCCTCTCCGACATGCCGTCGAATCTCAATGAAACATACAAACGAACTTTGGAGAACATCAAAAATACTCATCAAAAGAGCATTACTATGGCTAGCCTATTCGCTTAGGCCGCTCAAGCTGCAGGAACTTGCAGATGCTGTTGTTGTGGAAGAGTATGACGATGCTATAGACGATGACATTCGTCTTCACGACCCCATGATACTTCTAGAATCCGCAAACGGCTTGTTTGAGTTCAATCCAGTGACTCAAGTTGTGTCTCTCAGTCACTCTTCCATAAAGACCTTTCTCACATCGGACTGGATCAAGAACAGCTCAGCTTCCTACTTCGCACTTGGTGGGGATACCGAGTGTCACCTGAAGATTATGCGGTGGTGCCTGACCTACCTGTCTTATTCCGAGTTTAATGGTGGTTGCGGAGTAATCAGCAACAGTACTATGTCCAGGTACCCCTTCCTGGGCTACGCAGCATGGAACTGGCCATACCATCTACGCAACCCATCTACGAGAGATTGGGAAGCGGTCTCGGCATTCCTTTCCACTCGGAATTCCAAAAGCGGGGGGAACTACGGTTGCTGGATGCACGCCCTTAACCGGAGCATGCATCCCGAAACTCTGAAGGAAACACAGCCCCTTTACTATGCTGCTTCTTTTGGATTTTCACCATTGGTAGCAGCGATGTTGCTTTTTGACGATAGCCTGGATCTCGAGGCGCCTGGGGGTAGAGCTGGCTCTACTGCATTACAAGTGGCTTGCTTCCGCCGCCAGAAGGAGGTAAGCCGAATGCTGATCGAGGCCGGTGCGGACTTCTTGTCCAGACACGGTAACTTCCCCAATAGAAAGGGTATCACCTCACTCTGGTGGGCAGAAGCAAATGGCTGGATGGATCTAGTGGCTCTCATGACATCGATAATGACACAAAAGAAGATTAGAACAGTTCCTGAGGACGCATATCCGACACAGTATATTCAGGAGGTTCAGAAGGCAGATGCTAGGCAGAGGATGCACGTCATGGAAGGAAAAGAGACTGCACTTCTAGACAAGAAGCTGGTAGCGACAGAGATTCCGCGCCGATATATCTCAAGATATAAGATAGAGAGGTTTCTCGAGGAGCGGCTTGGAAAAGGAAACTTCCTGATCGATGTTCTGGTACGTTAAATGCTATCTAGCGGTATTTCAGGGTGAGGGTCAAAGCTAACTGCTTTATCTTTCTACTTTTAGCAAGATTCTTTTATTTTAACGGCTTATGAGGAGCTTTCAGGGGTAAGGTCTATTTCTATTGCCTCTTGTTATTGTCCTTGAGGGCTAACAGTGCCCGTTGCCTATCTTCAGGAAGACTGGAGACAGATTCGAGACTTGAGCGAGTAGCTATTATTAGAAAGATTAGACATTTTCAGAGCCTTGTCAACTAGAAAGACAGGCAGATCCATTACGCCCGGTAGGCTACCGTTTAAAGGTCTCTCAAAAGTAAAAGTTATATATTACTAATACCTTAGATGTTATAAAGCCCCTATGTTTTCCGCCTTGTTCTTCTCTCTTCCTTTAATGTTCTCCTTAAATATCCCTATATCGGTTAATAGTAATAAATAAATAAGAAGAAATTCCTCTAATGCAATTTTAATAAATAATAGAAAGTGGACTTGACCTTCGACTATTTATGTCATCTGAGTATGACTTCAGCTATTGATCAATGACGTATTGCTGATGACAAAATATAGTAATAAAGCGACGCATCATGTTTATTGCTTCTTCAAGAAACATTCCTCGCTCACCAACATTGTTCCACATACTGACAAGACATCTTCAAATTACAAGTCATCATGTCAGGAACTGCACCTAATGATCCTGCCCCTGGCGGTCACTCTCGAGAGTTGAATCAGACACCCCTTGACTCGAACCAACACGGGCAGACCCAGTAGGATAGCCCCAGTGGCCCAGCGTCTTCCTGCACACAGTTAATTGGATTTTAGAAACATCATCGATGAGATAAAGGACACTGGTGGCCGGGTTGTTGATGCCAATCTTGGAGCGAGCATTGATGCAACGAAGTCAGGGAATCTCTCCAGCCGCGTCAATGATATTCTGAATCAACCTACTAAGAGTGGTGATGGTGGAAAGTTGTCAGCGCAACGCAAGGCATTGGAGGTTGACGAGAAGGGCTTTAAGGTCGGAGAAGAAGGAGATTTACATGATTTAGCGCACAGCAAACAGCCTTAAGCATGATCAGAGTGTATCTCAACTTGCAAAATAAGTGTTGTTTGACAAAATTGTCTGCTGTCCTGTAGCTCCCTAACCTTAATTTACCTGTAGCGCCCTATAGCCTCTAGCTCTCTACACTTAATTACTAACAGGAGGCTTAGCCGAGAAGTCACGGCATAGAGACAACGCCAATGCAGGACAAAGGCGGCCAGTCAAAAAGAACTCCAACAAGTGACAGACAGTATACTCGTCGGCTCACCGGTTCAAAAAGCAAAAAAAGGATAGCCTCGCTGACGCTCGCAATCGAATATAGGAACAGCCCGATGCGGGGGTCGAACCCGCAACCTTGAGATCGCGTACTCGTAAGAGTCTCACGCTCTACCGATTGAGCTAACCGGGCGTGGCTCTTAATTGTTGAGAGACGGTGCTCGGATTTAACACCATGTTGGCTACACGTTCTGGCTGGAAGCGCGAATGCTGCGCATCACCATCGAGGGCATTATGTGTGTAATTTCGTTGATGTACTCAGCAAGAGACTGGCCCAAATTCATGCTCAACATGCATATCGCTGACTCTACAAATACGTCACTGGATATGACGTACCTAGTTAGTAATAAAGCACGCATCAATGCACCAGCGACAAATGGTAACGCAAATCAGTCATCCTAATATTCATGGTAAAATAGGTACTCAAGCTCGCTTCTAAAATCATCAATGTCCATCATAATCCCAGCATACCCAACTACAACCGCCAGGATTAAACAGTAAAGCGGAACCTTGGGCTCTTCTCTCCCAAAGACTCAATCTCGTCCTCAGTTTTACCCTCAAGCAAGTAATCCTGCTTACCCTCATCACGAAGCTTGTTCTGTCGCTTAAAGTGAAGATGTAGGATAATGTTGAGGATCAACGACACAACAAGCATTCCCATGCTGGTACCGTAGCCAGGGCGGTAGTGAGGAGCATACTGGCTAGAGAAGAGAAAGGGAGATGCCACGCCAGACGCATTGCCGATGGTCAGATGCATACCCGTTGAGAAAGCTCGCTTTCCGTAGCGGGGGTTGTTGGCGGGGACCCAGGCGAAGGAAATACCGGATGAGAGGAAAATACCGATTGAGACGAAACAGCAGCCTGCGTATGAGAGGGCGGCGCCCTTGCCGGCGATAAGCATGCCATAGCCGATGATAGCGGATCCGATGCCTCCCATAACGAAGAAACCTCGCTTTTGGGTGATGTCACTGAGGCGAGCACCGATGAGATATGTGATGGCTCCGATAGCGTAGACGGGGACAGTCATGGCTTGAACCTCAGCAGATGACCAGGTTCCCATAGCCTTGACGATGGTGGGCAGGAAGACGACGAATGAGTAGAGCATAGCCAAGGTAGGGAAGAGAGCAAAACAGTAAACCCAAGTTGTCCAGTCCTTGACACCATCAAGGACATCCTCCTTGAGAAGCTCTCGGTTGTTTCTAGCCCGACCTACCTGCTCATCATGAATCTTCTGCAAGTTGATCTTATCCTCCTCAGTAAGAAACTTAGCAGTCTCAGGACTATTAGGTAGAACGAAGGGAATGACAACTCCAGTGAGGATGGTGGGAGCACCATTGATAAGAATGATCCACCGCCACGCACTCCAACCCATGGCACCATCCATAAAGCTAATACCGTACGCAACAAGACCACCAGCGACACCAGAGATGGCAGCAGTGGAGAAGAAGTATGCGATACGAAGAGCAAGACTCTTGCGGCCGTAGTACATGGAGAGGTAGAGCACGACACCGGGGAAGAAACCTGCTTCGCAGAGACCAAGGAGGAGACGGCATGCGACGAGGGCGCCGAGGTTGTTTACCCAGGCGCTGCAGGTGGCGACGATGCCCCATGCGATGGTGAGGCCGGCGAGGTAGTAGGCGGGCTTGAGCTTCTTGATGATCAGGTTGGAGGGGGATTCGAAGAGCTGGAGGGCATTAGCTTCGTAAATAATGGAGGATTGGGGAGGCTTACACAGTAGGTGACGAAGAGTACGGAGACGGAGAGTTGAAACTCATTGCCTGTCAGACCGAGATCTTCTTCCATGCGGAACAGACGAGCGTTGCCAATGTTGACTGCAATTCGTTAGACCCTTCATTTGCGAGCAGAGTAGAGTGGCATACCTCGATCCATCATATTCATCAGATAAACCCACATAACCATTGGAATAATGCGATAGTCAAGCTTTCTGAGGATAGCCCTCTCAGTCTGCTTATCAACATACTCATAATTCTCACCACGCGCCTCCTCAATACCCCTCGCTTCAGCCTTCATCTCAGAGCCAGAAGACGAGTTGGGGCGCGTAGGCTCCTGAGAGACATTGTCATGGGCTGTCATCTTGCTGATATCCAACAAAAGGCAAGATAGCTAGAAATGAAGAAGGGGGAGTAAATTCAACCCTGAGAAAACGATGCTGGATGATCGACGGGAGAGAAATAACGGTGGACGAGGGACCAGTTTTATACACAAGCCAAGATACTTCTTTACCCCGTGGGCAAAGATATGGACCTCCCCACAAACCCCAAGGTTGTCTTTCTCCATATCGCAGATTCTGTTATCCAACGCCAAGCGTATGCACTTGCCACGCGAGGCTTGTATTGGCAGCTGTAACGCCTTATCTAATGACTCCCATTCGTGTAGGCAGCCTCGGACAATATCCACTAAGGGTTACAGCCAAGGCTCGTCATATCTCGTTCACAATCTCGGCCCATATCTGCATCTCGACTGAGCAGATACCCCAGATTCCGCTATTGCCAAGGCTGTGACGACGGCTCCGCGTTTTGATAAAGCGTCTTTTTCTGGGGCTCACAGCTCAAAAATCACCAGATCAAGCTGAGGGTACATCTCCAAGGTGAGCATGTAGTGGTGATTTCAAGGGGCGGCTATGACTTGAGGCTGCAGGACTTGATATAGCCGACACGTGGCGGACGAGCGGAAGAATTACCACATCGATGGCAAGCTGGTGCAGATGGGGTTTTTTTATCTTGGCTGTTTCTTGGCTCTCCGAATGTAAAAATTTGGGGTGAGAAGAGAAGACAAGACAAGAGATGTGCAGTTTTACGCGAGATGAGAGACTATGCTGACCCCCAAACTTTTGTCTCCTCTTTACTCCGCCTTTTATGCCCCAAATTATTCATGCTTAAAATAAAGATGACCAATAACGACACGGGGAATTTGTTGAATGATCGGGGTAGACAAGAGTCCCTCTCCTCGCTCATTCTAACGTGTCGTTCTTCTTGTTTACTGTTTACGAGGTCCAAGTTGTCAAATTGAGCCAAGTCTGGGGTAAAAAAGCACAGATGGGGCACATCAGATCATCTCAGATCACAACATTCGACTTTTTTTCTCTTCTGCATCTAAATCTCTAAAACAGAAAGAAGAAAAGAAAGCTCTCACCGACCCCACGGGGAACCCCATGGAGACGGACGAGTTGGAGAATGAATGCGGCCGTTACGACGCGCCAGCCAAGACCGCCAAGTCTGCCAAGTCGAACGAGTTTTTTCACTTCTGGTGGAGCGATCTCTTGGGTCCTCGTCATGGTATTTCCCTATTCCTCTGCTATTGTTGAGGATGAGGGCTTTGTGTCTTTCTCTGCCCGGTAGCCCGGAAATCGTGGGGTTGCTTGGCGTGTCGAACCATCGCGGGGAAGTAGGGAAAAGTCTGGGGAATGTCAATGTTCATCTGTCATCTGAGTGAATTATTGCTGTAGGTAACTTCCAGCTGTAGTTCGAGGTACACATATACTGATGTTGTAGGTTGCTATGTGGCTTTTGCATGATATTGAATCACGCTTGTAATTTTACCGCCGCGTTTAGTTACTACCCGTGCCATCTGCCGTGAGGGGAAACGCTTTTCACTAACAAACAGAAAATTCTAGTGTCTTGCAGATCATTTGGAGAATACCGCCAGCAAGTCAGCAGTAATCCAAGGCAAAAAGGGTTCCTTCGAGATCCGTCTTCCATATCAGGATATGTATGTCCGTCTTGGCGGATCCAAAACACGCGTGGCATGCACACCTCGGTTTTCTACCGAAGAGGCTTGACAGGCGACAGGACCATCATGCTTTTGTGTGTATGTCAAGATTGATCTGCAGATGTTTCATGATGTGGTGGCAAGAGGATCTTGCTGCTGCCAAACCCTGCGCGGTTCGAGGATAACACTATCCTGTGATATGACACCCAACTTGGTGTTTCCTGGTTGCTTTTGTCACAGATGGACAAACGGGAAGCGCTTTGTGATTGTGTAGCATGATGTTGCGAAGCAAAGAAGCAATAGAGAGCAGATTGCTCTTCTGTGTCGTGTATGGCTTGGAGCAGTACTGAAACCACGAAACGATGTTTGTCAAGATGAACTGTTGCCTACAGCGTGATGTCCATTGCCATGCATGCAAGCATATTGTTTTGCAAGACCAGAGGAGCAACAGTTATGAAAGCAAAGAATTTGGGTAGAGGTTTTGGAAGACGTTGGATAAACAATTTGTGGCACGAGTTTGATTGTTGGAGGGCAGTGTTGCGGAAGATGTTTTGGTACACTTGCTTGGTAGATCCACTAGGTTTGCAGTTAAGCAAAGAACAATAATGCTGGTCAAATCGCGAACAGTACCTAATGCAATCGACAAAACTTCAATTGATAACAACAAAAGAATTGCGACACATGTTTTACAATAATGGTCATCTGCATCGTGAATTAGGATGATTGCACTTGATTGCACTGGCAAATTCATCTGTATGTAGTCATAGGGTAGCAAGCTTTATGACGCCAGTGCACAAACAGTCTGCACAACTCAGTGGCTGCTTGTGCCAGTGGCAGTAGCAGTGCGTGCGTGGCGGGGCAAACAAGTGAATGCCACTGGCCTTTAGGCAGCCACTCCCTGCAATTTTATCCCTGCTAGACTCACTTTTAGCTTTCTCCTCCTCCAACTCTAACCACTCTCAACCCTGCACGCGCATCCACACACGTTTATTCCCGAGACAAGGCTTTTGACGTTGTAAGTTGACTTGTACCGAATGACTCCTTCGGCAGCGCTGACTTTTGCGCGTTGAAAGAGCCTCATTTGCTGATTGAGTTGTCGCTGGCAGGAATAAAAAGGTGCTCTCCACGCGGTCATTTGTTCGTCATTTCTTCCCCCCGAATTTTCCATCGCGACCTTGGCTAAATCGCCCGAGATGTTCAAGCAGCGATCTCACGAGACCCATCATAACACCCACGTCCCGCAGATCAAGGCCAACCCGGGTGAATACACCGTCGCTGTTCTCGGCGACAGCCTCTTTGAGCGCTTCAAAACAACCGGCAAATTCATCACCGCCCGACAACCCGCCGGCGAGATGTTCAAGCAGCGCTCTCACCAGACCCACCACAACACCCACGCTCCCCATATCAAGAACAACCCGGGCCAGTACAACACCGCCCTCCTCGGCGCCAGCGGTGTCGAGCGCTTCAAGACCACGGGCAGAATGCTCAGCATCAACAAGGACACGCGTATTCTGAACCTCGGTGTTGGCGGCGACAAGATCTTGAATGTGCAGTATCGCATGGATCAAGGTCTCGTGCGTCTTCTGAAGCAGCACCAGCCCAACCTCAAGACTATGTACATCCACATGGGATCCAACAATCTCAAGAATTATGGTCTTCGAAAGGGCGATGTTGATGCGTATGGCGCTGTGGTGAAGCAGTTGCGCAGTGAGTTTCCTGACATGACTGTCGTCATCACTGCGTTGTTCATCCAGCGCGGTCTGGAGCTTGCTGTGATTGATGATGCGAACGCCAAGCTCAAGGCTATTGCTGATGAGCATGGGTTTGTTTTCTTGCCCTTTGGAGATGATCAGGAGGGCATCATGAGTGAGGACAATGTTCACTTGAACCAGTTTGGGTATCGCAAATGGAACGAGCTCCTCACCAACGACATGAACAGCCGCTAAACAGCGCGCGCACTCCTCAAATGAATGAGGATACGCAGAACCGGTGGTCTGAGGACTGCCTTGCATTTGCATTCTGGCGTAAGCAGGACATCGCCTTTACAGAAGTAAGTGACCTCAATAAGCAACACCGCAATGAATGGGCTAACTCTTTGCTTACAGAAGGCGCAGGGATATACCTGTAGTATGTTGTTCTTTACCAGTCCCGGTCACGATGTCGTTTACCCACGGAGGCATGGGTCGCCTTGAAGAAAAAGGTCGTCATGGATATGATGTCACTCTATCCGAGTGTAGTGTCGGTAAAGTATGAGACATATTGTAGTCTTGTGTTTGTATCCTAGACTAGAAATCCCATGGCCTCACTAAAATTCCTTTCCTTGTGCTCTCTGACCATGCAGTGTGTACCGAAATCCCCACCATTCCCGGTTAATGATTGACACCGCCTCTACAAGGCTCAGCTTTGTACCTTCAACCAAGTTCATTGCGTCCGTGACTCCATCTATTGACAGGCCAGACTCAATGTGAAATCTCTAGTTACCTACAACAGCAAGCAGACTGTTGACGCGACTGTTCTCCTCCGTATCCATATCATACGGCGGCGGACGCTTCCACAAAAGCTTCACACCCGGCTGGAAAATCATGCAGTGTGAACTCCCCCCAAAGTGAAACATGCCAATCTGCTGCCCCTTCGTAATATGATCCCCCTTCTCAACAATAAACTCGCACCCCGACACCTCCGCCATACCAATAAACACAATTGCCATAAGTCCAATCTTGGGATTGTCAGCCTGAATCCAGATAATACCCCGCGTAGCCACAGCGCTGATATAAGGCTGCGAGTAGTTCGGCGCCGCGGGATCAGGATCATCGGGATTACCCGCCAATCCCTCAAAGTAATTCTCGCTGTAGTACGAACCGGGCACGAGCTCAATGTCGATGACGTTACCGCTTAGGGGCGCGTGCCAGCGATGATAGCTCTTTGCACTGAGGAAGGCTTGGTAGACTGTTCCGTCGACGAGTTTGTGCGTGTTGGGGTTGGAGTTGAGCATTCTGTCGAGGGAGTAGGGCTGGGATTTGAGCCAGAATTGGTCGTGGAGTTTGACGTGCTCTGCGACTTGGAGGGGGGCGGATTCGCATGCGTTGGTGATGACGAGGGTTGGGTCGGGGTACTCTGGGGTTGGAGGGGCGTCGTCTGGACAGACGACGGGGCGCATACCATCTCGGAACTCTCTGGTGAAGAAGTCGTCCCAGGACTTGTAGCCGTAGTACTTTTCGGCTGGGTTACAGATGAAGATCTTGTCAAAGGTCGGACCGTCCTCACCAGTGTTGGCTACAGTGGCAAGCATATGCAGCGCATCTGGGGATAACCAACCCTCCAGACCAGACTGGGACCCAGAAGACTCCAAGAACGACCCCCAGGAGTCGAGAACACCCTTGAACGAAGCGTTCACTTCAGGCAAAAGCCAAAATTCATACCCAGCGACAGTACCCATAGGCCAATCAAGAACAGCATTGATAGGAAACCCAATCATGCCCATAGCAGTAGGAGGATCCTGCTTATCAAAGAACGGCGGGGCAGATTGAATGATGAGGCTGAGGACATCGATGAACTGACCAAAGGTCTTGAGGGCTGGTTCACCAGTGGGGTCATAGTACTTGGAAGACTGGGTAAACATGTCATTGGCAAGGGTCTTGAGGTAGGGGTTGTCATTGACGAGTTTCTGAAACGCTACGATCTTGGGGTTGGGATCGAGAGAAGCAAAGTTCTTTCTTTTGGTCTGCTGGAGCTTGGATGCGATCCAGTCTTGGATCGCTGGGCGTTGGTTGGGGAGCCATTTGCCGATGGGGCGGTGGGCTGCGACAGGGAGAGAGGCCATGCTGAAAAGTGAAACTGTTACAATGACAGTGAGATTGTTTGGAAGAAGGAATAATGTAGAGGAGTCGCTCGATGGCGTTGACTTTATACATAATGGACTTCGAAATGGGAAGCAGGTCGAGCTGAAAGAAGATGCGGAGTCTCTTACGGATCAACACTATCCGACGTGACACAGAACCTGCACCACCAATGATATCCGCGTACGACCGAGACATACATCGCTCAGCCCGCCACAATTCCAAGAGACCTGCCCGAAAAGCTCAGCGGCACAGAAACTGCCGTCATTTATGAGCTCACTCGCAGATATTGCATCACATACTCCGCTCTGGATGTGAAGCCAGGAGTTTTACATGTGAACACTGCATGTTGTCTGAGACATAAGGAGGAAAGAGTCGACACCTTGGCTGATATCTCATATTGCGGGGTAACTGACTGCCGTTTTTGTTTGTGTTGCAGATGGTACGGGTGGTATGTGATACTGTCGCAAGAATGGACGAGGAGGGGGAGGTTGGTGAGAGGTGATTGAGGATTGGATGAGGACGAACTGGGAGACCGAAGTACAGAGCGTTGCAACGGGGGTAGAGAGACATAAAAAAAGACCTTTTGACTTGTCCAAGGAGCTGTACTCTGTCTAGCAACGCACATTCACACTGGGGCGATCATCACTTCGTCAAGCTAGGCACGGCACGCACCTCGTCACATTCCAGAGCGCCTCCAAGATCTTGCCTTTCTGTCGCCAAGACTGTCAAACTATTCAAGCAAAGCTGAAAATTTGTACATCATTTGAAGCAAGAGAATAGTTACTCAGTATTGAAGTTTCAGTCTACAATTCGTCTCGTTTTCTGATTGGGTACACAAGAAGCACCCCAATAAGGAAGACGTCGAATCCGATCTTATCTAATCTTATCGCACCAGATACCGTAAATTCTCACGAAACTATTCACAGCTAGACTAGTTTGCGTTTTTCACAAGCTACTGCAAGCCTCGTATCCTTATAACATAGCACCTTTCCTTTCAGAGGTCTGGTCTTCACAGAGCTAAATATAGCCTCTATAGAATTTAATTCTTCCATTTCTCTCTATTTATTTAGAAGAATACTCACCTAATCTATAGCAGGTGTTGCGGACGCTAGCCGTGACGTACTGTATTTCGTCAGAAGTTGCCGGTAGGCTGGAAAAAATAAGCTATAAACACCACCTCGCGCTATCGTGAACTATCGAATTTCCAAGCCAATAGCGCCGTCTCGGAGATTACAAAAAGTCTTCAAGAAAGGAGTCTTAAATACAGCTGAGCCCCTACAATGTTTATTCGAATCCCCATCCGCTCGTTTCTCAATTCTGCGCTTCGACGCCCTTTCGCTCTTTGAATCGTTCTTTGTAAACATGATGTTGCTCAAGTATTCAGCTGCCGTTGCAGCTTTTGCCCTCTACGGGCATGCTAGCGCTGGGCCTTGCAAGCCGATTACTCGCCCTACGAGCTCGGGCTTGGAGACTTCCGGTACTGCTACAACTGAAGTTTCTTCAACTGTGACGAATTCGCTCTCGGTTGAGACTTCGACGACGGTCGAGACGTCTTCAGCCGCCACGTCGGTTGAGAGCTCGGCGACAACCTTCTTGCTCGAGGCTTCGAGCACTACTGGTGATTCTTCCACTTTGTTTACCTCAACGACCGAAACCGCGACGCTTGACGCAACCACTACCGAGTTTGCTTCTACGACCGCCGAGGCCTCTACGACAGCCACCGCTACGACTTCTGCTGCGCCAGTGTGCGAGTTCACGGGAGAATACACCAACTACATCAAGAACCCGTCTTTCGATAATCTAGACGGCGACGGAAACCCCACCGCCGACCCGTGGATCATACTCGGAGTCTCAACTCTATCGACCCAATTCCCCAGAACAGGAGCCCGCGCTATGTAAGCTCAACCCCAACACCCCCGTTTAAACAACACTAACCAATCTCAGGGAGTATACATACCCCGACACTTCAATCAGCGGAAGTTCATCCATCCTCCAAGAACTAACCAACACCGTCGCCGGCCAAGAATACGTCTTCAAATTCCACTGGGCTCTTCTTCAGGGCCAGCCCCTTGAAGCAGACGAATGCAGATTCGGTACATTCGCTGGTGGTGGAGGGGCGAATAGGCTGTTTATCGCTGTTGATGGCGATGAGGCAATTTCGCAGTTTCAGTATTATGAACAGGAGTATCGCATTACTGCTGAGAATAATAATCAGAGGTTGTCGATTGGGTTCTACTGTACGAGTGAGCCGGCGGGGGGAGCGGTCAAGGTTCACATTGATGATGTTTCGGTTTATGACTACTATGAGGGCTGTGAAAGTCCTTGAGTGGAAGTCGGTATGACCGGAGCTGTGTGTATTCTATCATAAGACATTTTTCACCATGTAGATGGTTCATAGCTAAGCATTGAGTAATAATCTACAACTTCGTTTCATTTTTGAGATCCATGACATCCCTCAAGTCCTTAATCTCAGTATCAGGTCGATGCGAAGTCGGTTTCGCAACCCGTTCTCCATAAGCCCATTCCTTCCTCAACCCTGTCTCATGACCTTCCAGTGCATCAACGATATACTTTCCGATAATCGGAAACATTTTGAACGCGTGTCCAGAGTCGCCTGTCGCAAGAAGAAGAGCAGGGTGTTTGGGATGGCGATCGATGAGCCAGTGTGCATCTGGTGAATCAGTACACCAGCACACACGAGCATCGAGAAGGGGACGGTCGGAGAATTGGGGCATCACGGTGTTGATGAATTTTCTTATGGCGACTTCCGCTTCACGTGGAATGCCGTCTTGGGGGTGGTTGCTGGAGTAGCGGGGGATGGAGTATCTGCTAGTTTTGCCGTCCTCATCGACAAAGGTGCCTTTCTGGTATTGGTAGCCAGGGTTGTTATCGCAGATTTTGATCAACTCTGCTCCCAAGTCAGCGATAGTAATGGGACCAGCCATTCGAAGCGTGACTCACTTGTATCGGGATCAGGTTCAAACATGAACCCAAGTTCATAGTTATCAATCACAGGGACTCCCTTCCACTCAGCAGCCTCCTCATCAGTAAGCTGTATATGACCCAAAGTCCAGCACTTTGACCACAACTGCTGCGACAGCTCGGGTAGTAGCTGTGGCGATGCAGCGCCCGTGCTCAAGATGTAGTGATCCGCATGAAGAACCTCACCAGAAGCGACGCGAATTCCAGTCATTGAGGCAGAAGCATCGAGCTCAAGGCCAGTCATAGTACCAGCATGGCCAGAGATGAATCTGACGCCCATCTGCTCAGACTTGAAGGCCCATTTCTCAAGGGCCTTTCGATCGTGGACCCATCCGCCAAGACTGTTGTAAAGACCCTTCCAGTTCTCGATCCCAACAGCATTTTTCAGTTGGGGGACACGTTTGACAATCTCGTCTCTACCACTGATGAGCTCTAGATTACTAGCCTTTCCCGCCCTTTTGAGGTTCTCATAAGACTTTTCAAGAAAAGACTCGGCTTTCTTGTCGCCCGTTGTAGTAGTAATACGCCCCTGCTCTTGTGAGTCTAACTTGCAAGCATGGCCATCAGTGTGGTTGACGTACAGTTTCAAAAAGGACATCATGCCATTCAGGATCTCTCCAAGCGTCAAGTGCTTCTAAAGCAAGTCGCGTATAAAGTGGTTCGTCGTACTCAGTTCGCATCACCTTGTTCAAGTCATGACCAGCAGAGTCTAGACTAGGCCATGGGTGGCGGTCGATACAGGTGATGTTGGTATAGCCACGCTTAGCTAGATGGTAGGCTGTACTGATACCGAATGTGCCCCTAGAATCAGAGTTGGCGATTGGCCTTGATGGAGCCTTGGTGGGCGCTAAGACTTACGCTCCGATGATGAGGATGGACGAGTCCTTGTTTAGAGGCGCTACCGAACGAGCCATGCTAATGATGATTGAGAAAAAGGTGATTTCCGACTAAGCTGTAAAGATGAAAGATAAGGTTCAAAAACAAAAAGGTGCTATCAGACGCTCAAGTTGGCCGTTTTATGAGTGATATGGCGCCCGTAACCGGAGCTGATCTGATATCTCATGACAAACAAAGGCTGGACCTTCCCTCACTCAATTACCCCGCAACAAACCTCACTCTATCATTCCCAAGTGGCAATCTTTAGTCGATAGTCAAAAAGTGTCAAGATAAGGTAGCGTAGCAATTAAATTCCTCTTAACCCCGAAGCTAAGGACCTGATGATCCGGGCCAATCACACGCTAGCTCAAATGACAACATCGCTTGGACCTTCTTGTTGCATGAGGGGCAGATAAACTAACGTTTGCCGAAATCCGGGGAGGGGAGTAGTATCGAATGTGACATTACTCGCGATAAGACACGATTATAAAATGCCGAGACTTTCGCGCCAAGAGCACATTGTATCCCCCATTCTTGTGTCGATCAATTCATTGAGAATTTCTTTGCGATTGAGACCGCCATCATGGCTCCCAAAGTTGAATACGCCGATAACCTTGAGCCTTCAAGACAAGAGGATGGTACCATTGAAGGCACGTCTGAAGAAATCATCGACAATCCTGACAAAGCTACTGCTTTCGCCATCAGTGGTATAGATGAGCACTATGACATTGACTCGGACAACTCGCCCCAACCTGAAGTCAGAGCCAACGTCCCCAATGTCGATGATCCTTCTATGCCTGTCAACACGCTTCGTGCCTGGACGCTAGGTTTACTTTTCACTATCCTCGGCACTGGTATCAATCAGTTCTTCTCAATGAGATATCCCAGCGTGACCATCTCATCCCTCGTCGCCCAATTAGTCGCCTACCCAGCCGGACGAGCCCTCGCCCACGCCCTCCCCATCATGAAAATAACACTCCTCGGTAAAGAAATTGCACTCAATCCCGATCATCACTTTAACATAAAAGAACACGCCCTCATCACTATAATGTCAAACCTCTCGTTTGGACCATCCTGGGCGACTGATATCATCCAAGCGCAAGTTGCGCCTGCGTTCTTGGGGCTAAAGACTCCAGTTGGGTATCAGTTCTTACTTGCGCTTACGATGCAGCTGTTTGGGCTTGGAATGGCGGGTATGGCGTATAGGTTCATCGTTGAGCCGCCGCATATGGTTTGGCCGTCGACGTTGGCTAATGCGGCGCTGTTTCAGACGTTGCATGGGAGGGCGAATCCGAAGGCTGATGGGTGGAGTATCTCGAGGTATCGGTTCTTTGTATACGTTTTCGCTGGTGGTTGGCTGTGGGTAAGTCATTGCAATCCTCCTCTGGTAGCAACGCTGATGGTCTTTTAGTACTGGCTTCCTGGATTTCTCTTCACCGGACTGAGCACCTTTGCCTTCATCTGCTGGGCTGCGCCAAGTAAGTTAACCGCTCAATTAACTCTTGCTTCATCCTACTGACCTTTGATAGATAACATTATCGTCAACAACCTTTTCGGCATGTCAACCGGCCTAGCATATCTCCCCACAACATTTGACTGGTCTCAAATCGCCTACAACGGCTCTCCGCTCGTCGTCCCCTTCTGGGCACAAGCCAACGTCTTCGCCGGGTGGGTCATCGTCTTCGCTCTCGTCACACCAATCCTATACTACACAAACACTTGGTACACAGCCTATCTACCCTTCTCTGGAGGTGACATCTACGACAACACTGGCAACGTGTTCAACGCTTCTCGTGTTGTTGATCGTCATGGAAACTTCTCACCGGAAGATTACAAGAACTACAGTCCCATCTTCATGCCGGTCACGTTCGCTTTGAGCTATGGCATATCTTTTGCGACGATGACTTGTGTCCCGACGTATATCTTCCTCAATTACTGGAAGCAGATCGTCGGCGCCTTCAACCCGCAGCGGAAGAAAGACATTCATGCTCGGCTGATTGAGCGATACCCTGATACTCCATGGTGGTGGTACGCAGCACTGACCGCCATCGTCCTCGGTCTCACCATCATGGTACAAGAAGTGTACGACACACAAATGCCCGTTTGGGGTGTCTTCCTCGCTTTCGGCCTAGCAGCGTTCTATCTTATCCCCACCGGAAGTGTCTATGCTGTCGCCAATCTCAACAGCAACGTCCTCACTGTTCTCGGCGAGATCATTTCGGGATACGCCATTCCCGGAAAGCCAGTCGTCATGCTAATCTTCAAGTTCTACGCATACACGGGACTAAGCCAAGCGATGATCTTTGCCTCAGACATGAAACTTGGATTATACATGAAGATTCCTCGTCGTACCCTCTTTGTCGCACAGTTGACCGCCTGTATCGTTGGGTCTCTCACCCAAAACGCCGTTGTTCTGTGGATGCTGCACCATGTCAAAGACATCTGTGAGAGCGATCAGCCCAATAAGTACACTTGTCCTCAGGGTCGCGTCAACTTCTCGTCTAGTATCGTCTGGGGTGCCGTCGGTCCAGCGCGTCTGTACAGCGTGGGTAAGATCTACTCTGGGCTGTTGCACCTGTTCTGGCTTGGAGCACTTTTGCCAGTGGTGACGTTCTTCCTGAAGAGGAAGTTCCCCAACAGCAAGTTGCTGCGTAACCTTCACTGGCCTCTCTTCTTCGCTGGCACCGGAAACGTCCCTCCCGCTACTGGTATCAACTACAGCTCTGCGTTTGCAGTCTCATTCATTTTCAACAAATGGATTCGTGGAAAGTACCCGCATTGGTGGGCCAAGGTGAGCCTGCAATGAAATCTTCTGCCAAAGTCGAGTATAGCTAACATGGACAGTATAATTACGTTTTGTCGGCGGCCCTGGACTCTGGTCTTGCCATTTCTGCCATCGTGATCTTTTTCGCCCTCGTCTTCCCCGGCGTTAGTCTGAGCTGGTGGGGAAATAACGTCCAGGGCACGACTGCTGATGGTATGGGTACTCCGTGGAGGAAGCTGGGCGCCAATGAGACATTTGGGCCATCTACTTGGAACTAAGTCAAATTTACTATGTGTCTTGATGTTTGTATTGTTACTTCATAGCTAGTGAAATGATTATTGTCGTTCCAAGCATAACACTTCGTACACGAAGTGATAAGAAGACCGAGGCGAATTCACCATGGGCTTTATAGACTCTAGACTAATCCCTTCTGGTGCATAAGCATGGGGGTCAGATGTTGTCTCGCCGCCTGGCTTTTGAACATTACCCAATCACATCATTTTCGTTCAAATACGACGGGTACACCAACGCTAGCGTCAACTGAGGTGCTTACTCCGTGGCCGAGCTATCCGAGTCAACCATGTATAAGAGACTTGAGATGATTAGATTAGTGGATAGATAAAGTCGCTCAACCTGGTTTCTCCTTCATGGTTGCTCCTACAGCAGAAACGGCATAATAACCATGGTATCTTTGAACATTCTCAAAGCTTTGTATGACTTCGTCGACTAAAACAGAAATAAGAAGACAACTAATAGCTGTATTAGGACTTGTTTCAACTCGGCACAGAGCATCTTACCCCCTTTGCCAGCCACTCATCCAGTCACGCCAAAGCTGACCGGCGAACCCTGCATCCAAGTCGATGGAGTATGGAGCATCACCGAAGATTGTGTTGATCCTCTCTACTCCCGGCCCATCATCGACAACGAGACCCATGAGACGTTACCAATCCCTCATCTTCGAATCTCGGGACATTTTGACGGGACCGCTGTCGAATTCAACATCTATCTTCCCGATAGCGGATGGAAGGGTCGCTTCTTCCAACTCGTCTATCCATTACAAAACTCAACTGCGTCTGATCGAGAGATTGGCTTTGGAGCAGATAGCGGAGGCTATACCGTTCGTGCTTCCGGTCTACCAACTTACCGTGGTGATGCAGCTGCAGCAAAGTTTGGCATGATGGTCGCACGGGGGTACTACAAGCCTAAGAACAATAAGATCCATGGGTATATCTATGGAGGTAGTGGTGGATCTCTTATCACTGTTGGGGCGATGGAGAATACGATTGGTATTTGGTCTGGCGCTCTGACTCTTGTCCAAGCTGTACCAGTTTCCATCAACAATTGGTCTATTCGCGCTCTCACAGGTCTTGTTCTTCAGAATAAGAGTGCTGAGATTGAGGAAGCGCTTAGACCCGGTGGTAGTGGTGACGTCTACTCGAAGTTGAACCCGGCCGAGAGGACCGTCTTTGAAGAAGCCACGGCCCTTGGTGTCCCTATCAGAGGGTGGGAGAGCTTCCACGAAACTGGGGCTTCTGAGGCACTCTGGGAGGCCATAAGAAGCGTATCCGGTGCAGCTGTGTTGAAAATGGATCCTACGTACGTGGATGACGTCTGGAATAAGCCAGGATACTTGGGCACCGAAAAGTCCAAGCTTGGGGATATATTTCGCAAGGAGATGCTTGACTACGAGACTTTGATCACTTCTTTCAAGTATGACGCCAACAACGTACCTATTGAGCTCACTCTCGACGCGGCACCTACCTCAACGAGGACTTACTGGTTGGACATCAGTATTGTATCCAAGGACGGTGAAGTACTTGGCAAAGTCACTGGCAAGGGTCACGATAACAGTACCGAAAAGACTGTTACACTTCACCCCAATAATGACCTCGCCGTCCTCTCCTTTCTTCAAAAGGGAACTCGAGTTCACATTAGCAACCGAATGTTTCTCGCCATGCATGCACTCCACCGTTACTCAGTCCCTAAGCGCTCAGGCTTTTATGGCTACGCCTATCTCCGAGATTTCAACGGAGCACCGATATATCCTCAGCGTTCTGTCCTAGTAGCGGAGCAGATAGCAAGGTCTGCTAGTGGTGGCGCTACATTTTCGGGCAAGTTCAACGGCAAGATGATCGTCATGGACAATCTGATGGACGTTGACGCGTTCCCCTGGCATGCAGATTGGTACAAGAACCGAGTCAAAGAGGTCTATGAGGATGATATCGATGATAAATTGCGTCTTCATTACACTGAGAATGCAGATCATCAAATAGGCCCTGTTATAGGTTCCAAGAGCTTCAGAGTAGTGGATTTTACCGGCATTTATGAGCAGCATCTGCGAGACTTGAGTGTTTGGTGCGAAACAGGGACATACCCAAGTATCCCAACAAATTACACCATACACAACGCTCAGATCCAGCTTCCAGCCTCAGCTTCAGATAGGAAAGGTCTCCAACCCCCTGTGGATCCAAGCGTCAACGGTAGCAAACAGGTCGAAGTCAAAACAGGCACTACAGCTATTTTCACGGTGCGCGTCGAGGTTCCTCCGGGTGCAGGAAAAGTCGTTACCTTGGAGTGGGATTTTGAAGGGACAGGGAATTTTGTCAAGAAGAGCTTTGGGGACATTGCCCAGACTGTTGAGACGACAGTTTGCTATACTTACAGCCGAAAAGGGATTTTCTTTCCTTCCGTCAGGGCTGCTTCTCACAGGGAGGGTAGGATGGATTCACCTTATGGCCTGTCTTTAAACTTGGGGAGACTGAGAGTTTCAGTTAAATAGATGTGCATGACGATATTGATAAGTTCTGTGGGGTGAGACAAGCTCCCAGCCGCAGCTATCAACAGCAACCGACGCATATGGTGTCGTTCCTCAAATATTTGCCATCTTCCAGTATTCAATCCCTACAGAGCTCTTTGTTCGTATACTGATGCGGACAACAGGGCTGACCGATAAAAGACCCTAAGCCACAATTGGTAGAGATAGAATAGACTCAACCCCGGACATTCTTCCATATCAAATACAAGTACGCTCCACTCCTCCCATGGTTGATATCAGTAGATATACCGTCCCAACCAAACGCAGCCACATCAGGAAGCGACACAGAATCGTCCTGCGATCTCCAAAGCTGAACATCCCCGATCTTAGTGGGTAAGGTCAAGTCCCGGGACGTGATGACATAGCGGTAGTCACCACCAGCCCCATGTGCCATATCTCCAAGCTCAGGATGGTCACCACCATTGCCGGTGATATCGATGAACAAGCCGGTGATAGCCTGAGATGGATCTGAGGTGTATGACTTAACGACGTAGGTATAATCTCCGCCGAGCCCATTATTGCAGTCTGGGCTACCATGAGCAGGGCTAGCATCGACACAAGTTCCCGGCGGGAGGAAGTCGGAGTCGTCAGACGCTTGAACCGTCAGGGCTGAAATATAAGAAGGCATGGTGGGGTCTTGGAAGGCGGGGTGCTTTATATAGTGGTTCAGAAAGATCGATAGCTTAAGGATTTTTGGACATAATTCTAGGGTTATGGAGGGCGTATAAATACTTAGAAGGAATAAAGGTTCACCGCCTTATACCTGATAGATCTGGCTGTAAAGTCGCTGCTGAGCCGTGGTCTAGATCATGTGAATGTCTCAAACCATCGCGTGGCTAGCTGAAAAACCCATCCCATATCCATCGTCAACGATCTAGAAACCATTGTGGCTGGCGCGCACAGTCACTAGTCAGCGTCAGGCCAATCAGATACTAACAAAGATTTGACTATTGACTTAACATTGAAACTACTGATTCTTAATCTGTTCATGGGACCGACCCAATACCATGGCTTGCCGTGACTGCCCGAGAATATGGAATCCCCTCCTGGAGTCGGAACGTGATTGAACACGCGTGAGCTTCAGTGGCCTTCTGTGTGCGCTCCAGACGCATCATTGCGTGCGATTCATAATGACCAGACTACCGGATGTGATGGTAAATACCGGTCTAGCTTGAAGAGTCCGTGATTGAGACATGGGTGGATTTTGAGTCTCAGGTAGCGCCTATAAGTCCACGTATTTTTTCGCATTCTGAGAGACGTAAATTTGATGGCGTCGACTTACGGCGACTCGGGATCACGGGTATCTGGAATGAGTAGTGCTGAGGTGATCAAACAGCATTGGTGTCCTGCTGTATCAGGCACCACCGTAGAGAGGGCATTATCAAGATCTCCCCCAGTTGCCACATCAATAGTGAAAAGCCCACTAGAGATACAGCTTATGCATTGAATACTAATTAACATATCAACCGGTTTGCAACCAGCACATTCGGTATTCGTAGCAGTAATTAGTTATGTTCAAACGCTCGAAATTCCAGCCTGGCCTGCAGTGAGGCTGATGCGTTGGCGCGTTCTGGTTCGCCTGATCTGCATGTCTGTCTGCCTTGTCTGCCTTGCGGCGAGGCACTCTTACCCAACACTCATCTTCACCGCTTCATTTTGCCTGATTCTTTCTCCCTCCTGCAAACTTGTCAAACTCGACATGGCCGACCCGTTATCCATCGCCAGTGGCGTCGCTGGCCTTGTATCCCTCGGCCTGACTCTCTGTGGCGGCCTGCACAATTATTTAAGCAGCGTCAAAGGCCGACATCAAGACATCGAGTCAGCCAGCCGAAGTCTTACCCTTTTGCAGTCAAATCTCTTCATCATCCAGTCGAGCACATTGAAACTTGGTCATCGCCATGCTTTGTCTGCCAATGGAGTCAATCAAGCCCTTGCCAATTGCGAGTTTGAACTCGTGGCCCTGCAGCAATTGATGCTGAACCTTACGAGAGACGAGGGTTTGTCCGACATGAAAGGGATGATTAGGAAGCAAATGATGATAGCGAGGTATCCATTTGATCAGAAGAAGTTGGTTCAACTTCAAGATCAGCTTTCCAAAGCCAATGCGATTCTCAGCAGTTTCGTTCAAAGCTTTAACCTGTGAGGCACATTGACCGGAAAAACAGTTGTCCTCTTTCTAATCAATCACAGTGACGTCAATATCGGCATCAGTGAAGACTTGCGAGTTTTGAAGAATTACACCAATGCTAACGATAGCATCACGCATAACATGCTACACACGATCGCCAGGCGACTCGACACCATTAGTCCCACTGTTCAACGCACGGAAGTGGCGACGACATCTCGTCATATGCAAGCGCAGTGCCTGAGTACTGGGAGTCATCTTTCCAGTGTTTCCGTGCAACCGCTATATGTGCAAGATTCCCAGAGGGAAACAAGCCTTATAAAAGAACTGAATGAGCCGAAATGTACCTGCTCCGACCCTCGTCCGACCTATATCCATCGAAAGTCATCCTATATCAATAGATCATGGGGAAAATGGGTAATCTCGAGAGAGGAGCACAAACGGCAGTGCCATCGCCCTGGTTGCATGTTCTTGAGCCAATCACTGCAGACTTCAAGGACTACGTGGAGCTATCTTGGTTTCCGATATTGGCTTTCCCGAAGCTTGTCCTTGTCATTCACTCGAGACTATCCAGCTGGGGCATATAGCCTTTCCTTCGGGATCCAGGCATGCTATGTTGTCAAATCAAGCCCAGCCTTTGAAGCCATTACGGAACTTAGATGTGCGTACGCGGGTGTGAGGTAAAAGAGTCATCGTTATGTTGTTTCTACTGGGATGCAGATTACTGATTTCCATGTCAGCACGAATTGGGCTAGTTTTATCATGGGGGACCATCCGACTGTCTGGTTACGAGAAAATATCTCCGATTTACTCAAGAGGTTAAGAACAATCTACACCTCAAGGTGTGCGTCACCATTTGACGTAGATGAGAATGGGAGAAATATCGCCCATAAATTTATGGAAGTAAGCCCCATCCAGTGTATGCAAACATATGAAGCGCTTTTATATTAACATAATCTTTAGTTGCATCGAGAAAACCTAATACCTTACGCTGTACCTTGCAGAATAAGTTTTGAGGACCTATTCGAAGTGACCCGCTCGTTTCTTTTACACATGTTTGAACTTGGGGTCCCAATCACTGCTTCCAGTTTCTACCAAGAGTATGAACTTCCCAACTCATTCCACTTAGCTTAAATTACACATATCAGAACAATTATGGAAAACATTTGGAGAACTGGCTCCTTGGGATGGCTGCCTCAATGGTACCACTTCATAACAACACTTGATACGTCCTTCGACTTCTGTATCAAGAACAATATAGACAGCAATGTTACTTACTCTAGTTACCTCAATTTAAGTCAGGAGGATTTTCAAGTCTGGGCCAAATACCCCGAAATCGCTGAAGGTAACCTATCCATTGCACTATCGTTTCGAGTTATGGACAGTTAATAAAAAGCCCCAGCATTTGGATTTAATAACATCTTCCGGGAAGTTATGCAGCGAGATAGGCAAAAGCTTGAGATTATGACAATCCGCGACCAGCAGACCTCAGGCATTCTTGAAACAGATGTGTACGGACGGAACATATTGCACGCTAGCATCACATGGCCTACAGGGCTTGATCTGCTCCTGCAACAAAGTCCGGTTCTATCTCTTGTTCACAACAGCGAATCGAATTCTGCTTGTCCCCTACAGTTTGCAATCTGGTACAGTGGGAGCCTATGTACACAAGCAGATACCTGGGCGCTCTGCTCGGATTGTGATTGTGCTGTTCCTGTCCAACAACTACTAGAGGCCGACTGTTGCGTCCTAGACGACTATTTTGACCCGATTTCCAGGAACTGCTGTTCCTTTCGATGCCTAAAACTATTGTTCGAGCATTTAGAAGATCGGCGGCGGCGACTGAGAAATCTTTCCCTCGCAATATTACCCCCTGAAGTTATAGAGCGGTACGGAGTCGCCGTTGATTCTATTCCCTATGCTACTGCGGTCTTTCTGTGGGAGGAACTACAGTCACGATCTGATGATTGGGGAAAGCAGGGATATCGGATCAGTGGTGGCCTCAAGCCCTCTAGTCCAAAATGTCGCTTCGATGGCATATTTGAACAGTTACTCTCTCCAGAAATCTGTTCATTGCTCACTGAGCTCGAGATTAGACCTTGCGACGAGGGTAGTCTGAGGCCACTTCTAGCACGTGTGACTTCTGTTTATACTCCCAAAGGGAAATCAGTGGCTACCTACCTGAATTGGCTGATGAAGCATGATCTGGAGCTGGAATATGTGGCCAACGGCTTCCAAACATCGGTATTACATGATTGGGGAGGACCAATTGGCCGGTCTCTACGTGAAAAGGTTCATCGCCCAATTTTGGAAGCGGAAGTTATTAGTCTGATCGCCAAAATATGTACAAGTGACATAAGGTCCAATTTACCTTGTCCTTGCGTATCAGGCCCCTTCAACCGGCCGTCAGCATCCTTGATATCTGGCTTTAGTGCCTATGAGTCTCGATTGTTGGCACCGCGGAGCGTGGGAACAATTGGAGATGTTTGCCTCCTAGTTGATCTGCTTGGATGCATAGCATCTAATGTAGATGCTTCCTATCTGGCCAGATGCGCCGTCCACGCAATTACAATGGAACTCCTAGGTATTAGACTTGTTGGGCCCTGCACTTGGATTGCTGAAAAATGGGGAGCGAAAGTACTGGATGAGAATGAAAGGTTGGAAATATTGGATGAAGACAGCTTTTTACTGGAGAAGCTTGACAATCTCGATGAAGAGTTTGCAAGAGAGTTTGAAAGCCGAAATGAGTCAGTGGTAGATTTCCTACGAGGACACTATACTGAAAGAATGGAGGGAGTGCTGAAAGAGATGGATGTCCCTTTGGGGGATGATTATAAGCGTGGGCTGCTTGCCGCTGGGGTGGTGTTAGCAGAACCCAAATAGGGTGGTTCCGACTCTAGTATGGATGCGGTCGAAGTTTGCGAATACGGCTATGAAAATGATGACAAGATTGATGAAGTAGTCATTTGGCTGGAGGAGTGAAACAGAGGGGTTGAGATGGCATATGGATACAAGGGACTTGATATCAAGATTTATCTCGTACTGTATGCGGTTGTTGTTTGGAGATGTGAATCAGTACTAGCTTAGTGCAGTAGTGAAGGCGCTGAACTTGGCAGGGACCGCCAATAGACTGAGAACCAACAGGTAGGCTGGGGAATCTAGAGCGAGGGGGATAATTTCGACACTACATAGATCATATCGCCTCAATCGTTCCTAACTTCGTATCTTGAGGACTTGAGCCCAACACCTAAGGACGTTCTATCTCAGTATATGAGAGGTGTGAGGAGCATGATTAAGTATCAGGAACCAGGTCTATCCACTTAACGTAACACGCTTTATTCAATAATATTATCCACTGCTTGAATACAAACATCAAGAGTTGATCCAACGACTGACGTTATCAGTGAGATATCTAAGCAACAAGTAGTGACGAACCAAGTGCGACCGATCGGGCAACCTCTTCCTCGCGAATTACACGAGGTTGATCAAAGCGACGCAAATCCAAGCTTGGGAGTAGCATCCTCCTGGCTATGAATAACATAGTAGTTCTTCATGAACAAATTTCCCAGCACAGAGTATTTGCCATTAAGCTGAGTCGTGATCGCTCCAGTGCAAAGACGCGAGTTGGGGTCATATACCGTATAGTTGACATCTCGTCCCGGAATAGTGAGCGTTGTGCTGTCGATCTTGAGGTGGAAGTCAGGAATAGTGGCATTGCACGGGTACGTGCGAGAGCCTCCCTCCGTGAGCTTGTACCCCTTGATATGGCTATAGTAGTCGTTGACCACAGCTTCAGGCAGATAGACTAGGTACGTGCCGGAATCGACGATGACCTCGCCAACCTTGTTTTTGCGGTTGAGTGAACTCTTGCCCACGGCATAGGAGCTTACATTCATGGACCAGTACTTCGTGCTGACAACGGGGGTATAGGAGACTTTGCCCTTGAACTTGGTACTATCGATATATCCAAAGTCCCATGTCGCAGGCTTACCATCAAGCCTCAGATTCGCAGCAAAGACCTTCTTCTTCAGAGTGGGGAGGAGAGTTTCGAAAAAGGTCTTTTGCTTCTTGGGCGTGATCTGGTTGATGGTGCTGAATGCGAGACCCATGATGCCGTCGTAGGCGACTTCGGGCTGGATGATAAGGGCGGCTTCGACGGCCTGCTTTTTGGCTACGACGGGTCCTGCCTTGACGGTATCGGTGAAGACTTCGCCGCTGATCACATCGCCAAAGGCGTACTTGAGGGTGAAGTTGTAGCCCTTGAGAAGGGTTGCGGATGAAGTGGGGACATAGCCTGGGTGATCCTCACGCTGGAAGGGGGAAGAGTCGTTGGAATACACCCATCTGTTCAGTGAGATGTCAGTCTAGATCCGCGATGCTGAAGCAGGGAAGTACTCACAAGTCAGCGGAACCAGTATCGTAGAGCATCTTGAACGTCTGGTTTCCAATGACAGTAGGGGTGAAGAATGTAAAGCCCCCATCGACAGGCTTCACTTTCACGGAGCCCGACTGCTTGGTGGTACGCGCTTTGATGTTGCTGCCATGCGCCGTTGGGAACTTGGCCTCAAGCCTCTGCCGCTCAGCCACAGGATCGAATTCCTCTGTCGTTGACGGCAAAGCATTGAGGCTGAAAGCAGCGCCCTGGCTATCTGGCACAGCAAGTCCATGAGCAGAAGCAGCAAATGCTGCAATCAGTTGCAGGAGTTTGAGAGACATGATGAGAACAGTCGTGTAGTATGACTAGGTAGGCACGAAAGTATCGTAAAAATAGGCATTCTTTCTTCCCCATTTTATGGCCAAGCGCACGACCTCGTTCCCGCTCGTTCCACTGTTACATAGATAGTTCGCGCTTTGATTTTCCGCCGACTTTAGATAAATTGCCGGGCTCCGCATACGAGTTAATTTCCCAAAACCGGCTAGCAAACAGGCTCGCCACCAATAGCGTCACAGCAGGCTCGGCAGATCAGGAATGTGATCCACTAAGAAACTCGTATCGACGAACAGGTCTTGGCCTCATGACTTCATCTAGACAGGGGCTACACCGTATAGTGGGTGGGTTAGTCCGTTTATATATAGCCTGATAGACATCAGGCAACTTGGTTGCACATCAACGACATCTACAACCATGGCTCTCTTCACTTTGGCCATCGTCGCTGCTGCTGTTGCGTTCCCTAGCATCGCTGCTGCGGGCAAGACTCCTGCTGGTGTCATTTCCGTCCCGCTGTCTCGCGATGCAGGTTTGACGGCGTACTATGCGAAGCTCCAGGTTGGCACACCGCCGCAGACCGAGTATCTCAAGATCGACACTGGCAGCCCGCGCTATTCCTTCCTAGACCCTCGTAATGAGGTGTGCAAGAAGCAGGGAAACAATTGCAAGACCTTTGGCACGTTTAACAACAGAACATCTAAGTATGTACCCAAGTACTTGTAGGTTCTGTCGCTAACCACTATGTAGAACATCCCGCTATGCAGGTGATGGGTTCGCTGATGCCTTGGGCTACGTCGGTCGAGGCGATTACTTGGAGGACACTATTGTTATCGGCGGTGTTTCAACCAAGAACATGTACTTTGGCATGACATCCGATTACAGTTTCCCCGACAAGCTCAGCGGTGACATCAACACAATTCTCGGTAAGGAAAAGCTATACCATAAGGAAGATGCTGAACTGACGGCGATGCAACAGGTCTATCACTGGAGTGCGGGTATGCTGGCCCCAAGTGCACTGACAGGTTCTCCTCATACTTCCTGCCAGAGCTGAAGAACGCCTCCAAGATCAACTACCTCGCGACGAGTCTCTACCTCGGCCCCGATGACAAGAAGGCCGCCAACGCTAGGATGCTCCTTGGTGGAGCTTATGACAAGGCCAAGATTGACGGTGATATCATCACCGTGCCTATGGTCGACCCTTTCAACGAAGTCCTTACCGGTGGCCAGACCAACGTCGTCAACGTCACCTCTGTCGAGGTCTTTCTCACCAAGGGCAACAACCGCACAAAGGAGACTTACGGGAAGAAGAAAGTCGGTATTCCGGTGTTGCTAGACACTGGTGTTGCAAGCTTCTATCTCACAGACAAGACCATGGCTCCTATCCTCCGCGCTTTTGGTGCCAAGACACAACCTTTTGGCCAGCAATACTTTGTGGTTAACTGCAAATACGCTGACACCAAGCGTAACGACGGATACATCGCTGTTGAGTTTGGCGTTCATGGCACGATCAAGGTTCCGCTCTACGGCGTGGTGACCAAGTTCTCTGACGGCACATGTGGAGTATTCGCTGCTTCTCGCGGGGACGAAGTGTCTATCTTTGGTGATCCTTTCCTGCGCAATGTGTACAGCATCTTTGACCAGGAGAAGTTTTCTATCTCGATGGGTAAGGTGAAGCATACAGCTGAGGAGAATATTGTGGCTTTTCCCAAGGGAGGCTTCAAGCCGACTCGTTACTGAAGAGCATGAGGAATGTAGAACTGATAGACGATGTACATGGATAATTCGTGGCTCAGACGTAGCAGGGAGAAATTAGCGATATAGGTTCTTCTGTATATAACTAAGTGAAGAAACATAACGACAATACATGTTTTCCAATTTCTTGATTCCTGAAAATCTTTCGTGACTTCAGTGCAATACTAAAGTTAACAATCACAAAAGCCGAGGACACGCTTCCCCGGATACCCCAAAAGCGCTATCTTGCCATCTCGCGCATTCGTCCCAAAATGGCCAAACGGGCGACCCTGGGCAGAGCTATGCCCTTCTGAGCCACCTCAGCGGCCGCTATCATCCCCACCAAACAGAGCCATCCTAGGTTTCAAAACCAGTACCTGCACAAACATGACCCGGTGATATAAATGGCGGCTAATCGCGAACCACCAACGGCTGCCATTTGATGAGGCATCATAATTGTGAGTGTGAATTCATAAGTCAACATAATGGATAAAGACCTGAAGCCTGTTACCACCGTACCCACGAACTCCACTGTCGGGATGGGTGAGTTGGTTGAAGATACAGCTAGCGGTCGCAAGCCCACCGATACCTTGGATGATGATGAGAAGCACTCGGTGGAACTGGGGTCTCCACCTCTTGGTCTTGTATACACCTCCAAAGAAGATGCGAGAGTCCGATGGAAGCTCGACCTGATCCTGCTACCCATGGTAAGTGGTTATCTACAGAAGCTGGAACATGCGGAAACTAAGTGCAAAAAAATAGATGGCGTTCACATATGTCCTCAACTATATGGACAAAGTCGCTTTGTCCGAGGCTTCCATCTTTGGTATCAAGGAAGACCTGGTCAGCAAATATGCACCTTGGAGATATCTACATGTAAAAACTGACATCTGCATAGAACCTCGTGGGTCAACAGTACAGCTGGTCATCCTCGATCTTCTATCTGGGCTATCTAGTCTGGCAATACCCCAGCTCTCTCTTGATGCAGAAACTTCCCATGTAAGTCTTCATCCTTCGTGAACTTGCCCAAGTTTATCTTGACTTACCTATCGTGTTCTAATCACTGCGCAGCGGACGATACTTTGGCGCCATGATCTTCCTCTGGGGTCTCACAGCCTGCACAACGGCATTCACAAAAGACTTTGCAACACTCTGCGTCAACCGCGTCTTCCTCGGTGTTTTTGAATCCTGCATGTCACCCATCCTCACGATCCTCATCTCCCAATACTGGACCCGAGAGGAACAGCCTCTTCGCACGTCTTTATGGTGGTCGGCCAGCGCTGTTGGTTCCTTCATGGCTGATGCGATAACATATGGACTATCGGGTAAAGATCATTCGGGCTCCAAGTATACCGTCTGGCAAGTCGTCTACCTCGTCTTCGGGCCGATGACGATGTTTTGGGGCATTGTGGTCTTTTTTGGTGTTCCGGCGTCGCCTCTGAGCGCATGGTTCTTCAGCAAAAGGGAGCGGGATATCGCTACTGATAGGGTAAGTAGAGAATGATTCTAACTACATGCATTGCTGAAAAATCTGCAGGTTTTGAAGAATCACACAGGTATCAAGAACACTGAGTATAAATGGAACCAGGTCTGGGAATGCCTGATGGATCCCCAGCCGTGGTTATTAGCGATACACGCATTTCTCCAATGCCTGCAGGGAGGCGGCCTGACATCGGTGAGCAACCTTGAATTGAATCAGTTAGTACATTATATCCTGACGACTATACAGTTCTCCAAGATCGTATTGACCCAGACCCTTGGCTACTCTAGCCGCCAGGCTACTCTGATGGGCATGCCGTCCAACACCATCCACCTCGTTTCAGTGGTCTTTGCGTGAGTCCCCAACTTTGCAACTCCATTTCAGATTGCTAACTTTTTAATCTAGTGGCTGGTTCTGCACTCGCTTCAAGAATACTAGGTGCTACGTCATGATCGCAACGAACATCATTGTCTTGATAGGAGCCGTGTTGGTAGACAGTAGGTTTCTGGCGTCATAAATGTCTTCTTGTCATATCTGATTCGTGTTAGACCTGCCGCAATCTAACCACCAAGGTAGACTTGCGTCATTCTATAGTAAGTCCGAACCTTCGTTTCCTGGCTTATAATTGTCGCTCACTCCCTTCTCCAGTTATCTATGTCAACACAGTCCCTTTCGGGCTCGGTATGAGTATTCTCTCCTCCAACATCGCAGGATTCACCAAGAAATCCACCGCCAGTGTAAGCCCCTCCAAGCCTACCCGATCTAGACTAAACCGGTCCTGATAACATTCACAGGTCATGATGTTCCTGGGCTACTGTCTCGGCCAATTCACAGGTCCCCAATTCTTCATCACGCATGAGGCCCCGCAGTACCAGACTGCTTTCAGAGGCTTCTATTCCTCGGTATCTGCCATGATCGTGTTAGAAATCGTTCTTCTGTAAGGAATTATCATTTCACCTTCGCCCCAAATGCTCACCATTCTCTCAGCGTCTACATCAAGTATCAGAACCATCGTCGAGGTCGTCGTGAGGTCCAGGAAATCTGCAACGCAAACGTTGATAGGGATGATTTAGATCTTACGGATTGGCAGCAAGGATCGTTTAGGTATATTTGGTAGGCGTTGGTGGAAGCGTCTGAAGTGGTAGACACTCATGTGACTGCTACAGTTCAAAGGCTTGCTATCATGTTTGCCTGGTCTTGTACTCTATTGATCTGTCTTTGTGTACAACGATTCCTTCGAGTTGCAGGGAATATGTGTTAAATCTCGTTCATTTGCCCAAGAAAAACATTGACGTGGAATATATACCCGACTTTTCCATCTGTGACATTTTCCAGTGGTCTAAGGTGACTACGGCCTCGGCCTCACGCAGTAAACAGGGTTATAATATTATGGAAAGAAAATGGTGCAAAATCTCCTTCGAGATATGAAGAAAACAAGTTCTGGTGCCTTAGCGTGCGTCTAGTTACGCTTATCAGCGATTAGTCATTAGTTGCCCCAGACTTCAAATTAAACTCTAAGGTCGAAGTGCTTCTGCATCCTCTATCCCCCCTCATCTCTGCCTAATCCTTCACAACGACTCACCATGTCCCTATGCACCACTTGCACCAGAAGAAAACTATCTTGTGATCAACTAAAACCGCGTTGCTCGCCCTGTCGACGGTCCCACCTCAAATGCGCTTATGAGCCGTCATCGCATGCTGTATTCGAGTTTAGAGATGAGACAGAGCAGGTCAGATCCCAAACCAGGCGTCGTGGGAAACGAAAGAACACGTCCGAGGAGCCGAACCATGCAGAGATAAGCCCGCAGACCCAAACGACTTTTTCAACAGTCGAGGCGGATGTAACTGATTCGTTTGAACCATCGTCACTCGCAATGCTCGATGCGACGGCAATGCCTTGGATGGATGGGATATTTGACTCGTATCCAGATCAACAATGGGATTTGAGCCCAGACGCTGCAGCCTTCTCAAACGCGACTGGTCAGAACTGGATGCCATATACGGAATCACCTGGTCAAACTTCAGCCGGCTTCACCGCCAGCAGCCAGGCCTCGAGTTCCCCTCAAACAGTCTCCGATCGGGTTCTGGCGCAGCACTACACGCAGAATCTAGCGTCCAAGTACAGTTCTAAAGGCCAAACCTGGAACAATCACACTTATTTCTTCAATCGGTTCAACTCGAGCCATTCGTTTGTCATTTCGGCTCTTTACGCGTGGACAGCTGCTCACCTCCACTGCAACGGAACATTGAGCTCTGAGGCTAGTGCTCTAGAGCACTACAATAAGAGTCTTGTAGCTCTCAGGGATCGATTGGGCATTCATCTTGAATTTGAGGGCTTGGATGAAGACCTTGGCCAAGCTTGGCCTCAGCTTATCACCCGAGATGATGACCTGGATGCCGTCTCAGTGACGCTATACTTTCTCGCCTGGACAGATCTTCTCCTCTCAAGAAGAGCCTCTCTAAGGCGTATGGTGAGTCTCGAGGCTTGCCTACTCGAGAACCGGGGCCACGGTGATCAATCACAATCGGTCTACGGCAGAATGGCAGTGTGGTTCTGCTTCCTTGATGCTCGCGCTTCACTTTTTTCCCAAGGTGACGATCGTATTATCCAGTGTCTGGGCAACGACTTGGGATTAATGTTTGCTGTGGACAAATCATACAACTTTCTACAACAGGAATACACTCTGCTATACCCGAATGAGGAACGTCGATGGGACGAGGCTCATAGGCCTTTGTATGTGGCTACTTGTCGCTTGGTCGCTCTGTTGGGGATGATATCCAGAGGTGACCGTACTGCTCCGGGGGCGAATGAAGAGGCAATGACAAGAGCATCATTGAATAACATCAAAGAGGCAAGTTAGCGATTAAATGGTCCTTAGACTTTTGTAATCCGATCGCTGACGATGTACTAGGGCCTCGCCACGATTACCGAGGAGAAAGCCGCAGAAAACAAGGTACTCTCCATCTTCCTAACCGCAAACGCGCTCTTCCACGCAGTACACATTTACGCGTCAAGAATATACCGGTCAGGGGACGCAATCTATGCAGAGACTAGGCATGCCGAAGAGATAATTGGCATCACTCGCCGCTTCTACTGTAAACTGAAACGGCCGAGAACAGAAGCGCCGCCGACCAAGATATGGCCCATCCCACTCATCATGGCAGCAATCGAGGCAAAGGACCCTATCTACAGAGATTGGGCGCTGCAACTTATCAAGGACTGTGGCCAGGCTGGGAAGCATTATGCAAATGCATGTGTGTTTGTCGAAAAGGTGCATGTCGCCGAGGAGGGGACGGGCTGTCGCGCCAATCTTTCCCGGATCGCTCAAGACATGGGCGACGATTTTGTGATTTAATGAGCGACCGGAATTCAATTTAAGCCTCGTAAGCCACTTTTGTCTTTGCTAGCGACAAAGGGCGGCGGTTCGTGGTTGTTGGACCCGTCGCCGATTTGGACTATTTGGGACAATCGGGCGAGGCGCTAGCAGGCGCAGCGAGGGATTGGCGACTGCAGTTCGGAACCCGGTACAGCGCCCCGTCAGACCTCTTTCATATAAGTATTCGTGGTAGTTCAGGTGATAGCTGGATATATTCAGTAATCTCATATCATCACCTACTGCCTTTTAACATGCCTTCTGCCGAGACCTCTATCATGGACGTCCCTCGTACTTTATACTACCAACACATTGTTGTCGAAGGAACGCCCTATGAGCGCGGACTTTCGCATGGAAGACAGGTGGCTGACAAGGTCCGTGCCAATATCGAATACTACAAGCTTCCTGGAAAGCTGCCTCATTGGTGCGTCAACCATTGTCACCACTATTCTCGCGCATTACTAACAAGCAACTCAGGTCCATCTCCTCCAAGATCATCGAAACCGTCTACCTCCCAGCCTTTGAGATGTTTTACCCCACCGGTCTCGAAGAGATCAGAGGCATCGCAGATGGCGCAGGCGTTACGATCGAAGAGGTCATTATGCTCAATGCCCGATACGACCTTGGCAGATGCATGTATCGACTGCAAGACGGTGGCAAGACTCCCCAGGAGCTGAGTGAACATGATGAATGTACAAGTGGATTCTTTCCGCCTGAAGCAGTGGCGTCTGGTCGTGCTCTGGCGGTGCATAACTGGGACATGTCTAGCCATCTCTATAACCAGGACCTGATCATCTACCTCGAAGTGCACCCAGACCCATCTGAGGACCGACCCTCTATGTTTATTCTCACTGAAGCTGGGCAGCTGATCCGCAGTGGAATGAACTCGGCTGGCATGTCGGTTACTGCAAATTCACTGCTATGCAGCGAAGACTACGTGCCCATTTCGCACGTTGACCAAGACGGGGTCTACCATGAGATCAAGAACCCCAAGCCTGTTCTCCCTCTCTCAGTAGCAAGACGCGTCTTCCTCGAGTACAGTAACTATGCAGAGGGTCTGGTAGCTATTAACGCCTTCCCGCGCCACGTCTCAGGAAACCTACACGTCTCAACAGCCGAAGGATTCGCAATGGCCATGGAAGTCTCCCCAACCCGCGTGTACAAGTTCTACGGAAACATTGACGATAACTACCTCATCCACAGCAATCACTTCCTCAGTCCAGAATTTCTGAGCCGTGATGATGTATATGATCGATCTCCTGGTGGGAGCACCTGGTTCCGATGCTTGCGAGCCGAGAAGGGAGTAAGAGCTGACTGTGCAGCGGGGAGATTGACGCCCGAAAAGATCAGGATGGCGTTCTCGGATCACTTGGCGTATCCTGAGAGTTTGTGCAATCATCCGAATTTGAACCAGAGGAATACGCCTAGTGCTGTGTTGACTGGATATACGTCTAAGCAGAACATGACGGTCGCTTTTGTCATATATGACCTGGTGGAGCGGGTTATTACAGTGTGCAAAGGGCCTCCTTGCGAGGGCGTGCTACAGAAGTTTAAGCTAGAGGAGAAGCGATTATTGAAGTATTAAATGCAGCAGGCACAGTGTGGCTTCGGGTTGGGAATATAGCTGGTATGCTTCGTCGATAGGGCATATAGATACGTGTCGCATTTAGAAATATATTACACAATTATGTTTCACTCTATTGTCGATCAACATGCGTGTCGCACCAATGTAAAACACCATGAGTTAGATTGTCAAGCTTGAAAAGATGCTTAAAAAAGTTCGGTATCTAGGGTATGCGGCGTGAAAACGAAGGTGAAACCTGGGGTTGTTTGAACAGGGATACTGACTGAGGCCGAAACGTCGCTTTGCTCGAGGCTGAAACCAGGGACTCATGATATCACAGTTGTGTTTCAATAACTGCAATGTTGATCGAGCCTCGAGCACTATTTAATCCATGAAATACTACTCCCAGAATGGAATTACTATCCCCATCATCAACTCTCTTCTCCCTCTCCAAACCTCTCATTTCACATCCTCGGTAGCGTCGCCACTCCGCTCACCATGAGACTCTCCTCAATAGCCTTGCTTTCATTCCTCTCAACAGCCATGGCAGCTCCCTTGGTTCGTGGCCCCGGCGGTCGACTTGTGCAAGAAGGTGCTGGGTGCACGCTCGTACAAGGCCGAAGCGTATGTGACGATGGGTTTGGCAACACCTTGTAAGTCGAAGCAGCCTCACAATTGAGAAGTATGGGTGTTAATCTTTACGTGTAGCTTCGAAGATGATCCATTCTCGTCAAAATAAAGAATGAAACAGGGGGAGGAATGAAATGCTGAGGCTTCTCACAGTGGAGGATTGAGACCTGAATAATTCCGCTCGAGGCGTTGAACTGCAGGATGGGTTGGCTAGTCCACCCGGGCCGAACAAGATACCACAAATGATAATCTAATGAATCTAGAACTCTCACCAAATACTCCCCATCTTTGCCGTGCCACTTTAAACACTCTCAAACATATGATCTCCTCAAGTGGAGACAGCAAAATGAGGCCATCTCCACTGAGCCCAGTCCGCGTAAGAAAACTTGCGGCCTGACATGGATACAGCCTGTTCAGACCACAAATTTGTCACTCTCTATACCAATTAATCATTCAAAAGGCAAATCTGTGGATTTCCCCATTCGAATGTTCTATGGTAAACAAAGCTGGCCGATTGCGATTGGATCAAAATCTCGGCTCTGCATTCCACGTCGCTATGCATGCTGCAGCTGCACGTTGAGTTGGGCACTGAGCGCCTCACTTTCTGTCCAAAATGGAGAATAAAATCCTCACTCTCTCTGTAGATTCCTTTGAAATTCAACTTCATCTTGTAATAATATTTTAGAAGTCATGACTTCATCTAATTCTAGCGAGGACTTGTTTCCAGCCCTGGAGTCGCTCTCCAGGTTAATCGTGCCTCACATCAAGACCGCGATATTCGTCGCGCTTGTTTTAAACCAATTTACTATCTTCCCTGACTTTAATGTTATTCTTTCTCAAATATCGAGCCCGTTGATTCTCATCGTTGCGCTGTATTTTGGCGGTATTTGGACATTACCCAACGGCCAGGAGAGTACCAGTACTCTATCGTGGAAGTTATTGCTGGGACCATTCTTCGACTTCAAGACCATCTCTAGTCGGGTCGGTACATACTTCAAAGGTAGGACGAGTCACTCTTGTCGATGGAAAATTGGGTGCTAATATCTTGTGTTTGTTCCAGTTGGCTCATTGATGTCTTTGGCCTACTACCTGACCCTCTACTACGACCTACCTCTCCCATTCCAACCATGGGTTCAATACATGTTCGTCGGCATTGCCACGACAGTATCAGCAGCTGCATACCTCTTCGCTCCCATCAGCAAGATCTACGGACCTCTTCGGTTCTGCTACCTTGAACATGCCCAGACATACTGGCTCGTCGTCAACTGGTGGTCACTTACCGCCGTCGTGCCCTTCTTCTCCCCAACCCTTCTTCCAATCTTTGGCTTCTGCCTCATCAGTGTGACGGTAGGTACATGGGTTCACATCTACTTCGCATATCGCGAGAAAGTCCGCACCATTGCCTGGACCGTTTCTGAGAATGCGGCCCGTGCAAAGGCAGCAGCTGAAGAAGCCCGAGATTTCGGATCTATGGCAAAGAAATACGAGGAGCAGATGGTCAACGCGGCAGCTGAGGCGCGACGTGATGCTGTTATTGCAAACTCAGTTAGACTGACTGACTTCTTCGACTGCGCATCTCGTGCATGGTCTGCTCTCGCTGAAGCTACGGCCCCAGCTGAGGATGCAGTCGCTCAAGCTCAAAGGGTCATCGCCTCCGCTATCATCTGCGAAGAGACAGAAAAGGTCGACGACAAACAAAAGGCAGAAAACGAAAGACTAGCAACATATTTCAGACAATCCGCCGAAACAGCACATGAGCGCGCAAGAGAAACAGTCGCCCTCCTCCGCACCGCCCAAGCTTCCGTCCGTGGCTCCGAAAACGCAGCACGACAAGACGAAGTATCCCGCCGCCACGCAGAGCACACCGCTGAGAATGCGTCTAACGTCGCCAAGTCCGTTAGCGACACTGTCGCGTCTATCCAAGATGCTGAGCGTAGAGCGGCATGGGCTGGTGGTGCTGCTGCGAGGAGGGCTGAAGAGGCTGTGACTATGGCGACGAATGGTGAGATTGAAGAGGCGAAAAAGGCTGTTGCTGCGTCTGAGTCTGCTTTCCAGGCTGCTGAGGAGTCGGCTAAGATTGTGAGGGAGGGAATGGAGGCTGCGCAGAGGGGGTTGCAGGAGTGGTTGCAGAGTAGCCGGCATGGAGTTTAGGTGAATAGTGGGCTATGAAAATGGCAATGCTAACTACAAGAGTACCATATAGAAGTTAAGCAGTTCCTTAGGATCAACTTTCACTTTTTGTATTGTATAAGATATCAAGCCCCGCAGCTGTCTATCATAGCCAACCACCCCATTCCGTAGAGAATAAAGCCCGTGATTCATTTTCAAGCATTTTCACACCAATATTTCTTCCTAGAAGATCCCAGTGTACCGAGCATAGCCCAAACCTAGTTGGCAAGCTGTTTGGAGGCCCGCTTTCCGTTGTCGCCGACACTTGTCTCGTAATAGTCCGGCAGGTGTGACAGCGAAGAGCATACTTGATATATGTAATGTCCCCGACTAATTCCTTTTCATCTTGAGACACAGGCTGGATATCTATCAGGGATGTTGCAAGATCCCAGTTGTTCTTTCGAATAGCGTGAGAAAGCACCCGCTCATTTGCGTCCAGCAGGCCCGGTTTCAGTGGCTGTCCGAAAAACACCTTGACCATGCCGTCGCACATTGATTTCGGCCAGTAATACGGGACTAAGATATGATCAAACAAAAATTCAATGGTTTTTTCATGTAGTGGAGCAGAGCCTCCAGTCTCTAAACATTGCGTCAGAGACTGTTCAACAGCCTCTACGCCCTCAGTGCCAACTTCCTGCGCCGCGGCTAGGAGGTCAAGAGTATCACCCAGCTGACGCTGTAGGTGAGGATGCTGAGTCTTATTTGACTCCATCAAAAGCATAAATATGCTATCTTGCCAAAAAGGACGTCTCTCTGGTGAAGGGGATTGATCTGGAAGGGAGATTTTTATAAGCTGGTGGCGAGTAACCGCCCACTCTACTAATAGGTCGATGAATGACCTCCCCAGGAGAGTTTTGGAGGAAACCGACAACTCCAGCTCAATCCCTATGTCGCGTTTGAGAGTACTCAAACTTTCGACCGAGTCATGAGAACTAAGAATTTCTGCTAGAATGGCAAAAGGAACCATGTGTGGCTGTTCATGACGCCGATATCCAGTCTCGAGCAGCTGGCAAACTTCTTCTGCTAAGGAATAACCGCGTTCCTCACGGCATGTACAGCCAGTACGTCCGTCAGTGCCTGATAGAGGGGGAAGGTAGCTGATTCCACCTGCAATAGCCTGCCTCACTGCTCTAACGAGAATAAAGTGATTCAGTGGCAATCTTTTGCGGCAGAGACACTGATTCTGACAGATCTTGTGATGGCTGCTCATTACCATTGCGTTTAGGATACGCTCAAGGTATCCACAGCGAGACTCTAGTGACCTATGGAAGTCCTCTACAATCATCATCAGCACACGGCAAGCTAGACCGCCGTTGCCAAACTGGATAGCATAAGTAAAAACGTGCCAAAGGTCTCTAAGCGTAGCGGCGTCCATGAGTTTGCCATACTCAGCTACATCCAGTGGCACAGGGTTTATCCGATATGAGGAGAATCCGAGGTGAAAGAAGTGGACATTGTTGCCAATGGTCTTACTGACACGGTCTATCCAGGCCGGTTGGAACCAAGGCTCGCCCTGGGAGTATTGATGTGGCTTTTGAAGAATTTGGCCTAATAGTCTCCATGTAGCCTCATTATCATCCGAATTGATTGAAAGACCATGTCGATACCAGTGATTGGAAGCATATTGGAAGAATGAATAACCTTCGGTGCTCTGAGCAGGACCAAAATTACGCCTAGGATCAGACGAGACCGTAGAGTCGTTCCATTGGACCCTGCCCGATGAATATTTGTGTGACTGTGAAGACAGAACAACCTCACGTGTGAGTCGTCCAACAAAAGAACCAAGACTACCTCCAACTGCAGTTCGCATTGTCTGCTCAGCGACACCGCCAATATCGATATCCATATGTAAAGAGTCCGTAGAGCTCTTCACGGGCACCACTGCCCCTTGGAAGTTATCAAGGCTGATATATGTGACACACAGCTCACCCATGAAGCTGTCACACTTGTCCGCGTTCAGATGGAAGTCCTTGAAGTCGCCCGAGTCTGGGCTTAGAAGATACTGCTGAATGGAATGGTGGCTGAAGTGGACAGTACCTGAGTCTTCCACGCAGACGAGATTCTGGCACCACGTGGGTAAGCGATCTATTCCACTTATAAGATCGTCATTGTCCAAAGTATGTTGTTCTATGTCGACCGAAAGAGCCTCGCGAAGTTGATCCAGGGTTAGCGGCTCGAACGATGCCTGGACCAGAGTAAATACTTTCTGAACAATTGGTGTATTGTTTTTCATTGCTGCTATGCGGCCCAGGGTGCGGTCAAATGCGGTGGGAAGATCAGCTGGGATGTCTTCCAGTGCCTGTCTGATATCTTTATCAGACTTTCGAGAGCAAATGTCTTCAATCGTAAGAAATGCCCAAAGGAACCTAATGTAAGAGGGGCTGTATTAGTGAGACGTTCCACGTTCCTACATGAACATTGACTTACATTCCCCCTTCCTTTCGGTGTATAACCGTGATGATCTCCTCGACTAGGTCGGCGTCACTGACTATGAGATCATTTGTTGCTATCTTGCTCCTGATGAGGTCCTCGGCATATAACTTAATATCTGAACTTGTTGGCCCCAACCCTGTACGAAGGCGTGTGGTCTGAGGTAGAATTCGGTCGATATGATTTGAGCATGTTTCCCGAGAAGACAACAGAAGCTTGATTCGGTGGGACTCTGGAAGCTGGTCAAAGACTTCGCGAAGGAATTCTAGTATTTGGACATATCTTGCGCCATCGATCTCGTCCAGGCCGTCAATGATGATAAACCAATCGTCCAGATTCTTTGCCGCAGTGATAAATGGTAATCGCAAGGAGTCATCCGAGAACAGCGATGACGCAGCTTGGTTGAGACTGTCATCCAACTCAGATATGGCTGTTGTGTCTAATCCTTCAATCAAAGGGGATGCCAGAAGCTGCTGAAGACAAGAACGAATGACTGTTGATACAGAGAGACTCTTCCCTTCGTCGAAACGAAGGAAAAACAAGGAGGTAAATTGACGAGGTTTCGGAGAAGAGCACAGTTGTTCAATAATTGAGGATCTGTGGCTAGTTAGGAACAATTCTATTTTCAAAACTGTGAGGAGACTAGACACTTACGCTAAGATTGTCTTTCCAGATCCAACTAACGGTCATGTCAGAAAGAGAACGTTTTACATAACTACTTTAACTTACTCTTCCCAGTGATATGAAGCACGGCTGTTCTGTTGGCATTGACCCATTCTTGGTATTCTGTAGTGGAAAAACACCACTCGGCAGTACCCATGTGTCGTTTGTTACGCATACTGTTGAACGTAGTCAGAGAGTTGTAAGACGTCAACTCATGGACAAGCTTGCTTCGCTTCTTGTCTGACAGAATGATAAGTTCCAGATGTAATACACAATGGATGATTGAAACTGACCTTTTGCGTGCTTATTCTTGAGATGTTGGATATCTTTCATGGCAGCACTGTATTTGGTAGCCCACATGGAGAGTTTCCCCCTGTATTCCGAAGCCTCTCGCCGCTCTTTAGTCTGCTGTTGTTGTTCATGATGATCAGCTTGTGCTTTAGCCAACTCGATCTCACTTTGCGCATTCTCGGCTTTCTCTTTGACTTTCTCAACGGAGCTTCGTATTTCAGTCTGGAAAGAGGATGTCACAGCTCTCCATACTTGATTGGCCAATGCTAGAGGAACGTTGTCAACTTCAGCCCAAGAGATTCTTTGCTGTACATACTGGATTGGCGGATAAGGCGAACAACCTTCTCACAGCAGAGTATCACGGAAGTGTGAAACTCACAAACTGAATCATTGAGATGGGTTGAGTCTTGAAACAGAATCTGATAGTGACCTAGTCTGGAATACAGAGAGCCGAAGCCTTGCAACAGTTCAACAAAGGATTGGAATTGGGATAGGAAATTTGCGAGAACCTGAAGATCTGACTGTTAGTCAACAGACACCTGCCAGTGGCCACCATAGTGTATACCATGAATGTTAGCTTGATCGAACCCCAGATAAGGGCACTGATATCAGGATTCGATTGAATGTATGTATCGATGATGGGCGTGAATTGCTGGACGATCTGCAGAAACGATGTAAGCCGCGAAGCTATGCTTTTGCCTCGTCGATTCCCATCTCGTTGCCTATCTAGCTCAGCAGTGAACGCAATGATTGACTGAGCGTCGTGCGGCAGCTTTTTCAGACCCTGTAGACGCATCCGATCATCATCTGTCAGCATCGCCTGGAAGTGAGCGACTGCGTCCTTGAGCTTCGTAACGGCGGCACTTCCATCGGGCTGTCTCCTGCTGCCAGTTGATGGCCCGGGTCGAGATAAATATGAGCTTTTGTGAGGAATCATAGTTTCTTTTCGGCGTCGATGGATCATAGATGCTGATGGCAAGATCTTGGGCAAACAGCCCCTCAGCTCAGGCCTCCACAGCCTGATTTGAGGCCTCACGTGCTACCATGACTTGTGCGGCTGAAAGCTCGGGTATCTCATTGGAAGGTATGTGACAAGGCAGGTTCGGCCTCTGATGCGTATCCTCAGCGGATGATGGTATTGCAGTACTGTAAGCCTCATCTGTCTCTATTCTTCCACCATTAATGGCAATCTTGTTTCTCCTACCAACCAGACGATTAAGGACAAATACGTCTTTCTTACTTGTTTTTCTCAAGATTAGGTCCCCTCTTAGCTTTGTAAAAGTGCAATCTTGATCTAAACTCCATAGTGTACATATGGTGCCCAATCAGCCGAACCTAGATCACTTTCCGTACTCCCGATCAATGATGCGTCTCTATTTGAGCGAAAAAGAAGATCGTTCGGCGTACCCTTTCCGTCAAACTCCTGAGTATGTCCAATCTTGGTACTCTTGTGCCTCTCTATCCACCGTCTCCTTAATTCACGGGTCGCCATGTGTAGTCCTCGGCAGATCGACTCATCCGTTATATCAGAGTCGAGCAGCTCCTGATACGTCATCTTTGCCATGTCAACAGAAAGATCATCTTGGACGTTCCACAACGTACCAATAACATGCCTAAACCCAGCGACTTGGAACGCACTGATAAGGTTGATGTTCTCATCAAACGACGTCTCGTCTTTGATCTGGCCGGTGCCACACGCCGAAAGGTATGCAAGAAACGGTGCTCTTTGTCCAAGATTTAGATCTAAAAGGTCAGAAACCTTGAGTGAATCTTTCTCCCAGTCTTCTAGTAAGAGACAACTCTTCGATGGGTCTTCTGTATGAGCCAGGCCGTGACCAGCAAAGTGGAAGATTGTGCAGTCTGAAAGATACCGGATAACCTCCTTCTTAGTGCGGGTTGGTATGATTGAGTCGAGCTTCATGGAGCGGACCATGTCGTCTATCAACTCAACCTCTTCGTTGGCAAAGGAAAGCGTGTCATGACCAGGTGTGTGCTCCATCGCCACAAGCAGTGCCTGATTAGAGTTAGAGGACTTGGTAGAATCTCGTCGACCACGAATTATGTTTCGTATCGAAGACCCATATGAAGAAATAACCCTGTCAAGAACTGCTTCAGAACCTTGTTGTCTATGGTATCCTGCTGCATGAAGTGGAAGTTGAACTAAAGGACCTGTTGGAATCCACCAGACATGGGGCCACTTTCCCGCCGTCGGAATGTCAGTAAAACCTAGCATGTTGAGTATGGGGTTCATGATGGTATCCCAAAGCCACTCAAGGGTCTGCGAAGTTGCGAGAGTCCAAGGCTTTACCCTCCGCTCAAGTTCCTCCAATGTTATGCTAGGCAGGTCCAATGTACGAACCTGGCTGTCCGAGACAACGAGAGCGTCGCAACGAAGCCTGCTGACGTTGATCACTGCGATTGGGCCGCGCTCTGAAGCACGGTAGATTTCATCTTCTGTATGGGAGAGCATAAAGTCTTCAAACCCAGGCAACTTGCGGATTTCAGCCGACAACTCGGTGAATTCCCTGGCAGCAGCATGTCTTCTGTTGATCGAAGCTTGCGACTGCGTGTCTGTCGGTCTACCATGCTCGGCACGCTGGTCCAGCTCAGCTTGCAAAGTGCGGTATCTCTCCGCTAGACCTGGATGCTGCCTTGCCAGATCTTGAACGTCGCTACGCATATCTTGGAGCGACGCCCCAATGATACCGCGACCTTGTTCGAGAAGTTGCAATGCTGTCATAGGTGACTGCCCAGCCTGTAAGGCTGCAGCTGCCGCGTCGGAGGCCAACCCAACTACTTTGCTGAGTACATACTGTCGATCATGATTTTCATGGGGCCATGATACGAGTTTCGGAATAAGACTTACTGCGAGCTTTGCAGTATCATATAGTTGCTGATTGTCTGACGAGTTGGAGAGAATCATTTGGCCAGCAGTAATGCGATCCTCCGTCGCTGAAGCATCGTGATAAAGAGCTAGTTCATAATCCTTGATAGAGTTTTCCAAATACTGTTCGTCTCCGGTAGCGGTATAGAGGTTCAAGTAACAGGTAGCAAGGCCGTTTAACCACGCTGCTCTGAGTGCATGGTCTTGTGACATCAGGCCCAAAGCTTCGTCGGCATTTTGTATGGCCTCTTCTAGATCGGCTAGATCTCCTGTATGCTCATATCGATCACCCAACTGGTCGCTAAGGATATACAGATAGTCTGCTCTCTCCGAATGGTCCAGCGGCATTATTTGTATGGCCTTTCTCTCGAGTTCAATAGCCTCATCGACATCGTCCAAGTCTTCGGTGCTCGAAAAGCGATCTCCCAATTTGATTGCCAGGTTGAAGAGTCGCTCTGGCTTCTCAGGCTCCATGTCCAACGACTTTCTGGCGCAGTCAATAGCTTCATCAATGTCTGCAACATCATCCGTTCTCAGATATCTGTCACCCAGACGGTTCCCTAGATTTGTCAAGGTGAAACCTGCCTCCTCGCCATTAGGCATCAGTTTGAGTGCCAATCTCTCTAGGCGGATCGCTTCTTCAAGGTCTGCCATTCCTTCAGTCTTTAGGTACTGGCAGCCGAACAGTCGTCCTAGACAACGTAGCCATTTGGGTTTCCAGTTGATGTCGGGAACCAAGGTCAATGCCTCATCAGCTACCGAAAAGGCCTCCTCAAGATACTCTTCGTCTTCGGTTCTTTCATGCAGAATACATAGATAGTTGGCTCTTGTCATCATCCAATCCACTTTACTCATATTCGTGTCTGAGGAATCAGTCGTGATCTGCCGATGAATTCCAACGCACTCCTCCAAATCCTGTACCTCGCCCGTCCACGTATACCGGCTATACAAGGTTTGCATCAGGCTTTTCTTTGCGAGCTGGCTCTCAGGCATAAGTTCAACGACCTTTCTGAAGATCTCGATACTCTCGTTCAGATTGGAAATTTCCCCTGTTACTTCGGCCCTCATGTCAAGCTTCTTTCCTAAAACAATCAACCTGGCCGGCATCAGCGAACTATTGTTGGACTCTGTGGTCTTGATGGAGAGTCTCTGGTAGCGAATGACCTTATCAAGGTCGGCTAAGTCTTCCGTCTCTGTGTATTTTTCTTCGAATAGGAACTCAAGTCTTCTGAGGAATACAATCCTTCGCGGATCGCTTTCTGGCGTAAGATCCAACGCCTGGATCCCGAGCTCTATGGCCTCTTCCATATCACCGAGATCATCTGTTTCGGCAAATCGGTCGCTGAGTTCATTGCTAAGTAAATGTGATTGAAGAGCTCTGTTTTGGTGATCCTCCGGTGGAGTTAATGCCAATATCTCCCTTCGCATCTCGAGGGACTGATTAAAATACTGTAAGTGTTCAGTATTTGTAAATATGTCTTTGAGCTGTTTGATGCGATCAGTCAAGATCGCAATCCTCGCCTCGTTGGCTTGAGTGCTCATCTCTGGCTTCTCTGCTATGATTGATTGTAAAGATTCCATGTTCTTGAGGGTATTATCGTGCGTACATCGGGCTACTGCGGAGACGCCACTGCGCGCTTTGGGTTTTGTGGAAAGGGTTTATGATAGTAAATAGATCTGTTGATATTGAGCTTAATCTTTTGGCTACATTGAAGGTTCCGATGCTATCGAAACAAGGCACTGGGGGCGTAAATGGTCATTTAGGCTATCACCCATAAGCTATTACTCCTGTAAGCCTGTAGCCTGTCTAGCCTGTCACGCAAGGCCTCCAACGGGTCACTCACCTATCTTGGCCATAATCAACTTTGCATATTTAAGGCTTACTACAAGCTTGGTCAGCCGCCATATGCCAGGATAACTACGGAGAAGAAGGCCTCTCAACAGGCAGCAGCCTAAAGATAGCGAATAGATGTTCTGCCTCAGCAGTCGTGTAACCACCTTGATAGTGTCATCACACTAAAAGGCAGAGCCCTACCCTCCTATAACTCCGATAAGGCGGAAGAATATTAGCTGCTGATTCGGCGCAGAAACCTCGCTAATCAACCAACCGTTCTTATAGGTGGAAAAAAGCTCACGGTGCATCGCAGTCGCCTCTTTTTTGCTGCATGAAGGCTCGCTTAGAACCTCCCTGTGATGTGTCGCCTATTCTTTGAGGCCGACTGGGTCGCAAGAAGTTGAGCCCCATGCGCAGCATGGCTTCTTAACTCCTCGCGCTTGGGCTCAGCCTCCACTACTTTAAATCTTAGATCTGCTGCTAGTACTCTATAGGTCTAGGTAGCTACCGCAATTGATCCCTCGTCTCTTAGTAACAGCGAATCTGCTTTAGTTCGGCTCCACCACATTCGCGATGGGTGATGCGCCAGGGAACCAAAAGGCTCCGATCGAGTCAAGGTACGCTACGCCCTCCGGTAGTCAATGATGCCATTGACTGTCACATAGTCAACAGGATGCACCTAAAGTGGAGGTGATTGATGGAGGTCGCCCAACGATCAGAAACTTCGCTACGGTAAGTTACTATGGCACGAGGCCTCTACTCAGCTAATACCTATCAGACTACGAAACTGAGACCTAATGATATAGTCAGGGTACTGTCCACTGGATCTACGTACACTGTATCAGAAGTACGGGGAGGAAAGTATATTCTCTGTGATGATAGTGGCAAGGAGGTCATGCAGGGGCGCGAGTATGATGAGACTGAGTTGGAATTGGTCGATGACCCTTTCTAAGTTAGATATAATCATTATCAGATAGGCTTATAAAGCTTATCTAATGCAATTATATCAGGTAGCTAGTATACTGCCTGGATTAACTTTAATAAGAGTGTTATTTTAAGTTAATAGTCCCTATAGCTAATAGCTTACATCACGCCCCTCATACACCATGACCCTTTCTAATCCCTATTCTAGTGCCATACATATGCGCATGCGGTGTGTAGCAATTATTCAGTTGATAGATGTCCAAACAACGAAGTTTTGCGATATCCAAGCTCCCTTATTTCCAGCACTCCTCATTCTTCCTCCAGTGCTCAAGTGCTTGATAAGGTCAGAAAGAATATCTGCCCCAGCAGATGAGTTCCTCAAAATCGACTTGACATCCAGTCCCGGCAACACCATGCCCGGAAATGAGACCGGTTTGTCTGTTATGAAAACTTTGATAACATCTTTAGCCTGGCCCTGTAAACTCAGAGGGCTTGGAACCGTCATTTTCAACTTCATCTCTTTTATGCCACGATTCTGGCCATGAGTTGGTGGTATGAGGACATAATCGCCTCCTCCGGAAGTAGAGATCAGGTTGTTCACACCCCAAGAAGGAGCAAAGTCAAAGACAGCCATGTAGAGCGGATGGTCCGCAAGGTTCTCGATAGTGAATCCAAACGTCCCTCCGTCTAAGACTTTAAAGATTCCATTTGTGGTGGAGTCTAACATCGGCTTGAGCGCGTATTTTGCTCTTAGCTCCGGGGACGGAAGTAGATTGACTAAGCCTTCGAAGTACTTGAACGTTGCGACATGTTGAAGAACTTCCATCATTTTAGGAAATGAATCTTTTAGGCTGGAGTCGAGTGTTGGGAGCTGAAGCATGTTCTCCTGTGCTTCACCGAAGATTTCGTATCGGTTCAATTTGTTGATGGTTAGTTCAAACATACAGAGGGCCTTTTCATCTTTGTCTGTGATCGCCTCAGAGTATTGTAACACTTCTGATCTGTCTTTTGCCTTCGAATTTTGTAGCAAGTCTGCCGGAAGCCATACCTTGATGCCTTGAGATGAAACAGTCGATAGTTGGGTGGCATGCAATGTCCCTATATCTTTTCTGCTCAAAGCGAAGGCTGGTGTTGACGCTCTTTTGCCTTGTGCAACTATCAACTCTGACTCGAAAGGCCAAACATTGGAAACTACGAATTTGACCCTCGAACGATCAACTCGACTCGGGGTAACGGAAAGACTGTTTTGGACAGTAAACTCATCTCCGATTGAGATTCCATGTACTTGTCCAGCCTTGATAAAAATCCTTGAACCTTCAATCTTGCATACTGGCCAAGCAGTAAGGGAGACTGGACCCAGAAGTGGCCCAAAGAAGGAGAGGTGAGTATTCCCGTAGCGCATTGGAGTCTGGCTGCATCCTGACGCTTGCATCATAGAAACAACGGTCTCATGGAGCGATTGGTGCGATACAGCGTCATTCACATTTGCCAAGGTCGTAAGGGCCCTGAGAAGGTGATGGGTGAGCGCGCCTCGTTTCTGGGTCTTGTTGACAAGGACCTCCATGGCCTTTTCGTGTGGACCGCACGCTGTAATAATTGTGTACCCTTCGGGATTGACAAGCCAATCTTTGCCAATCCTTGCATCGCGCCCGGGAATACCTAGGGCTTCTTTGCATTCTTGCTCCTGCTCAGCACGGTCGGTGTCAAGCGACGGGTCGTATTTCATAGCCCGGACCCGGTCGCCTCGAGTCACGGCACCCGAAAAACAGCAGTCCAATGCAACTGTGATAATGAGGCCTTTGTCGACCATTCGTTTGAGAGCCTGTGCTAAAAAGCGCCCGCGAAAGTAGCTAGCACCATGCTCACCATTCTCATAAAGAACAAGACCTAACTCGCCGAAGCCAGTTTCGCCAACGTTGCCGTCCGATGGTAATTGAGTACCATGTCCAGAGAAGTGGATATACACATGATCGCCAGGTTTCGCAGAATCAATAATTAAGCGAAGCTGCTTCAGAACATTCGCCCTGGTTGGCCTCTCATCGGGTGTCTCTGGTGGATCTTTAGTGGATTGATGATCCTTGGGCACAGTGGCTGTGAGCACGGAACTATGGATAGCCGTAGCGCTGTGCTGTTCCAGATAGGCCCTGATGTCGCTAACGTCGTCGACACTGCCATGAAGATGGCGGTCTTTGGGGTAATAATTGATTCCAATCAGTAGCGCCCAGCGCGATGAAGATTCTTTAGTGGCGGCCATCGAATGATTCCAAAGGATCACGATAGGAGCATGCTCTGACTGAAAAGGATGAGAAGTTGGACTGTTGGATGATAAGCATTGACGGCCCCTGGTATTATTGGGGCTGAGTGCATGCACAGCTGACGCCTCGCGGACGGACCGAGCCTATAAGCTTGGGTCGCAAAGAGGCAGCTCGAGACACTAAAAAGTACAACATCAATCACAAATGCAATCTCTTGCAACGTTTCAACCTACGGAGAGAGTGAAAGTATTAGCATTCTTCCACAGCTTCAACATTCCTACAATACTAGACTTACCAGATTTTTACGGCAATACCAGCTTTCTACCAAGAACAATGTCTTCAACTACTTCCGATATCGAATTGGGCCAGTTCAACACTACGCCATTATCGAGGATAGGCACAAACGGCAGAAGTTGGAGGCTCAGGTGGCCAAATCTGGCATGGCCATCATCTGCCTGTTTCTCACTTCCTGCGTCATTGTTATGGGGCAGGAGTGCTCCGGTAATGCAATTACCGCAGAGTAAGCAAGGCTGTCGAGGAAGTTCTTATAAGCGAGGCTAACTGCTATCAAAGTTGAGGACTACCCTAAGGGATATCCCCAATTCTCGTCGTTGATATCTTCGCATGAATCTTTTTTAGTTGCACGAAGGTTTCTTAACGTACGTGCACGATTATTACTACTCAAACAGAACCGTGCCGTTGAACTAGAGAGCAAACTGCACAAGATTGATAGAGATGAAGACAGGCCACTGTTCCTGGGCAGTTGTGAGCGGGATCAGAATACAGACCGAGCCAAGGTTGTTGCTGAGCTTGATGAAGCTCTGGAAGATTTAGGTAAGTCGTTCTTCAGCTCTGGTGGTCCTGAGGTCGAACTGACGTGCCCAGACAAGTTCCTGTTAAGAAGTAGACAGATTTCCGAACTTGAACAAGCAGATCCTCGAGCTGTGACAAACCTTCAGAACTGGCTCAATGGCACGGGATCTATAGCACGAGCAGAGAGCAGGTTCTTGAACTACCCACTGCAAGAGCTCCTAAGTACCAGTCCACGAGATGAATCTGCGATGATAGGGCTTGAGAATAATGTAGCTGAGAATCTACTCCGTGTTCGAGATTACTTATTCCCAGTACGTCAGCCCTTATCCTGCTTATACGATATCCCCTATCATGCTGATATAGTATACAGAGCTACTCCCCGAAAGTCTCCAGGGATACCGCCCATATTTACATCCCTACCAGATCAACTGCGGCTCTCATCTCTCGCGCGTTAATGATCCCAATCGTTGTCATCATGCTACTGGCACCAGTTATTCTCTGTTCCTACTTAAGCAACACATCATCGCGGCTGTTTGCTGTTGGAGGCGCGACAGTATTCTTTGTAGCGATGATCTCTAGTGGAACGAGGATGAAGAGTCAAGAACTGATTATTGCAGGAGCTACGTAAGTTGACATGGTGTCTGTTATGTATCTTCTGCTAACCATTCCCAGATATGCTACAGTTCTCACGGTTTTCCTATCAGAGTCATCAGGTTTACCTTCAGGCTAGACTGAATCTTCCATTTAACAAAACCCTACATCTCAGCTAATACTTGGTGCCAACTCTGTCGAGATGAATTGCAGTGTCAGGACTATGTACGACTGCATTTAAATGCGTCCTGCCAATTGAAGACCATTCATATTTTGATACAGTGTTTATTGATTACAAATACCCATCTCTGTCTACCCGTATCAAGCTCGAGTCCCCTCAGAAAGATGAGTTACTGCGGAAGGTTCCGTGCCGGCCAGAGGGGCCCGCTGTGCTAACCGTAGCAAGTTAGCTTAGAATTATGTAGAAACCGCATAGAAACCGAAACCGAGAATCGAGACCCTCATTCCCAGTAAACCCCACAACGATAAGATGCTGACACGTAAATACGGGCATCGCCAACTTCACCTGAACTCGTCTCGGAGACATTTCTTCACTGGCAATCGATCGTACTTCTCTCGGTGCAATATTTAGACCGTTTTTAATGCAATGGAACTTCTACAGACGTATGATGCTTCAAAGTCAAAGCTCAAACGGGTCCCGGGTTCATGATAGACCCCGAGACCCGGAGAGTCTAACGATTAATAGAAATGGATGTCGATCCACTATCATTACTAAATGTAGGTCGAATGCCGAGCAAATGAGGTCATGTACTTCATACCTGATGGCGAAATATACTGTATAACGTTACTGTGATACTGTTTCTAGTGCCATCTATAAGGACTGTTGGGTATCTATAACTTGACTACGAGACCGCACTATCAGGAGAAAGCGCGCAAACAAACTAACAACCAGATAAAAACATCATGAAGGAAGCAATCGTCAAGAAAGATACCTCTGTCGAAATCATCGACTCTCCGATTCCTAAGCCAGGCCCAGGCGACGTCCTCATCAAGGTTGTCATCGCAGGTAAGTCTACTTATACCTCGTTCTCGGATGGTAGATGCTAAACTCTCCAGGTACCAACCCCAAGGACTGGAAGATCCCCGTTTGGCTTGGCGAAGATTCCAACACCGGTGATGACATCGCCGGTATCGTCGAAGCCGTAGGTGAAAATGTCGTCGGCTTCCACAAAGGCGACCGCGTAGCTGCCTTCCACGAAATGAGAACCCCGAACGGTGCGTTCGCAGAGTATGCGACCGCGCCATACTACACAACCTTCCATATCCCCGACTCGGTATCTTTTGAAGAGGCCGCGACTATCCCCCTCGCCGCGTACACTTCTGTCTGTGCTTTGTTCCAAGAGCTTGAGATCCCCGAGCCTTGGTCACCACTCGCCAAGACTGAGACCAAGCGTCCTCTTCTCGTTTACGGGGCTAGTACTGCTACTGGAGCTTACGGTATCAAGCTAGCCGCTGCTGCTAATGTTCACCCGATCATTGCAGTTGGAAGCCAGCGTAGTGCATTCATAAAGCCATTCCTAGATGAGAGCAAGGGAGACGCGCTTGTTGACTACACTGCTTACAAGACTGAGGATGAACTAGTCAAGGCGATTCAGGAAGCTTTCAAAAAGGGCGGCGCTCCAGATGGTCGATGCTGGAAGGCTTTCGACAGTGTCTCAGAAGATTCCACCGTTAGGACCGTTACCAAAGCCATCGCTGGTCCTCCAGACTCAACTGGCCGCAAGCCAAAGATGACCAATATCTTGATGAAGAAAGAAGTTGAAGGTGCCGACCCCAGTGTAGACATCGTCGTCTCGATGGTTGGCCAAGTTCATGATAAGGATGAGAAGAACAAGTTGCTCGGTGTTGTATGGGGCGCAGCGTTCGCTAGGGGTCTTAGAGAGGGTTGGTTCACAGCCCATCCCTACATAATTGGTAAGAACGGCTTAGAAGGTCTCTCTGAGGGTCTCAAGGACTTGAAGGAGGGCAAGACGCGAGCTCAGAAGTTTTTGACTGTTATTGGTGAGACACCAGGCGTCAGCGCTTAGGTTGGAGGAAGATGCCCGGGGGCTGTTTAATGGTCTAAGCAAGGGTTACTGTCTAATATAACACTTTTTAAGCAAGTCTATGCGCTTTTTTATCTTCGTAAACTTTTCTCATCACATGCTTAATGGTATGGATTGCATAGTTGGTGAGATTTGCCTGTGCTGTTGTAAGCACACTTTTCACCTGATCTGGAGTCCACATGAGATTCGTTGAAGTCGAGAATGCTGCGGTCTAGAATAGACAATCAGTAGTTAGTTATTACATGGGTTGGTGTAGGACTGACCGTAGGGTTATAGGTTGGGTTTAACCCGTTTGGTAAGAGCGGGCAGTAGATGATATACACATCTTGTCCACTCTGTCTTGTTCCATGAAAGACTCTGGCGTAGTGATCCATGTATCGAGATTCGACTTCCAACGCGTGACTTGAAGTTAAGGCTGTACTTCGCTGTGGCTTGTGGAACTCTCGCGTCACATCTCTCAACTCAATGTCGAAGTCGGCAGCGAAGTGATGTAGTCTTTGCACAGCCGCACCAGTATGAATGTCTGAAGATGCATCGAACGAGATGAAAACATCGACGCCTCGTTCTGGTCGGGCGAGGATATGGTTAGGAAGATTGTTCGCCATGCCGGAGTCCATTAGTCTCGTCCGTCCTTGTGCTTCCCATGGCGGAAGGGAATGCGAATGCAAGGTAGTTGTATCGGGCACAGATTTGTCACTGCTGCGCATCCCTCGTTGATGCTGATGTGCAACTCGCGAGATATACATAGAGTGCTCTGAAGTATGCTCCCGCATGCCTACTGGTCTTTCAAGGCCATAAAATGGGTTCGGGTCATGTCCCGCACGGATCGGATTTCCCCAGAAACCCTCAAAGTGCTTCGACTGGAGTAGGTTGTTAAAGACAGTGACCAGACGTGCCATGATTGTGTTCTTGGGTATTGTGACCAAGAGAGCTTTGATGCACTCCGCCAATGGGGCTGCCGGTGCACTAGTACACTGACCCAACAGAAGTGAGAATGGCTGCTCAGGCCGACGATCCACCGAGTGCCCAGAGATGAAGGTACGTCCCCATGCCCAAGTTGGGACGTAACGGTTGAGGTCTAGACTGCCGACTTCAAGTGGTGAGATTTCGAAATACTGGAAGAGCTTCTTAGGCCGTCTGTTCACAGATACTCTTGGATCTGCTTGATCATTTCCTTCGACAGAGTCAAGCTGTCGAGATGTTGGTTGTTTCTTGACATCCCTAGCCTTTGCAGATATTGTCTTTGGCTCGTATGAGTACTTCGGCACGCGTCTCACAGCTGCAAGAAGCGGCATTGGTTCCAATCCCTTATCAATACCTGATCGTTGCCAAATCTTGGACCATTGAAATGTCGCTCTGCTCAGTCTACCCTTTGGCTCTCTCGATAGTAGTTGATACGTTGCAGTAAGAGTCGAGTAGAGATCCATGATTCCCAAGCCTATGATGCTCTTCTGCGCTTTACTGACCAGAGGACCAATCAGAAAGTAGACTCCCCTCTTACTTCGTGCAACCATGTTCAAGGCATGTATGCTCATGGGGTGTGCGAGCTCACTTGTCACTGTGAGATAATGGTCGATCAACCGCTGAATATCATGTCGAGCGATGGTGTAGTAAGCTGCAAGAGTCCAACAACTTCCACTAACGCCAGCCGTCCAGGTTATGCAATCCCATAGTCCATGCTTTTTGGCAGCTGAAATGAATCCAGTGAAGCCGTACATCACCTTGTACCCACCGCCTGATCCTCCCAACGCGATAAGCGGGACATCTCGAGGGTCAACCTTCTCATTGGGCGGGAGATCTAAAAAGCGATGCAACGAATCTTCTCCTTGTGATGATATTCTCAACTTGCGAAGTGCAATGAACTTTTGTTCTTCATGATGAAGAGAGGATCCTTGTCGAACTTGAGCGTCCCATTGTAGTTCCGGATATGTTGCGACGTCCGTCTCGTCCCTCTGCAGAAGTGTCTTGACCAATGCCAAGTCAACAGCTCTTTGATACCATCTTTCAACAATACCCCTAGTCTTATGGGGCAATGAGACTTTAGAGGATGGTGAAGGGATCAAACTTTTATGGCCCTTTTCCTGTGTCGTAGGCAAAGACACGACAACTCGACCGTTCCGAAAACGTGTTCTTGCATGAGTTACCCGACCTCTCGATGAAACAGGCGTCGCTTGGACCAAGGAGACCAATGAGCAAAGACAGTATGTTTTCGCGTATAAGTAAGCTGGTGACTTTCTAACTGAAGTCAAAATGACCATTCTTTCAGCCTTGAACGGCGCATGTTGAGGATTTGCAAGGAGTTGAGGTTTGTAAACAACGCATGTTAAATCGTTGGCGTCATTGCTGACTGATCCCCCTGGCCCCGGCAGCCAAAGAGCGCTACCACGTGGGCGTTAGTGTCCTCTAACGCTTGATGGGCCAATTAGAGTGCGGCAGTTACAGGGTAAGGTTAGTGCATTTAAACTGTCAACAGCAGTTAAAACATCAAGCCGTTGTTAATGATCAGCTTACAATTTCTGCCCAAGCAATTCAGATTTACTATCAGTGACCCTCTTCTCTTTTATGAAATGATCATTTTTTTACTACCTCTCAGCATCTCCTACCATCTAACCACCCAGATACAACATGGTTCAGTCTCTGTTCCCAGAAGTGATAAGAATTTATCGACATGTCATGCGCCGCTCGCACGCAAAAGCTCAACGATAGACTGATGATCTCGTGACAATGCGGCTCCAAGAGCGCTACCGTGACTTCCTCCAACAGCAGAGACATCAGCTCCTCGGCCTATCAATAGCTTCACAATTGGCGCTGATCCAGCATACGAAGCTGCCTGTAGAGGATTACCGTACTCCCCTCCCTGAATGTTAACATCAAGTCCTTTGTCAAGCAGCAGCTTGACGAGTTCCTCGCTACCTCCATAAGCAGCAGCCTGTAAAGCATTACCATGAAATCCCCCATCTGCATGAATATCAGCACCTTGTGCTATCAACAGTTCGGCTAGCTGCTCTCTATCCATAGACAAAGCTGCCTGAAGTGCGTTGCCGTAGTAGCCTCCTTGTACATTAACATCTGCCCCGGCGTCGAGGAGCAGTTGTACTACTTCTTCACGTCCTTCACAAACAGCCGCCTGTAGGGCGCTGCCGTCGTCGCCACCTTGGGCATTGACGAAAGCACCTCTGTCAAGCAGTGATATGACCAGCTGTTGATGACCGCCACAGGCAGCAGCCTGGAGAGCATTGCCGTGGTGTCCACCTTGGACGTTTACATCAGCACCTTGGTCCATCAACAGCGTGGCCAATTGTGCATGGCCCCTGGTTGCGGCTGCTTGGAGTGCATTGCCATAGAACCCGCCCCGCGCACCAATATCTGCTCCTTGGCCGACCAGGAACGCTACAAGTTGTTCGTGGCCTCCATAAGAAGCCGCTTGCAGAGCGTTACCATATTGACCACCCTGTACATTGACGCTAGTTCCTTTATCGATCAGTAGCTGCACCAGCTGCTGATTTCCTTTGAATGCAGCAGCCTGTAGGGCATTGCCATAGGGCCCTCCTTCTGCATATATATCAGCACCCTCTTCTATCAACATCTCAGCTAATTCACTATGGCCACTGGATATGGCTGCTGAAAGAGCGTTACCATGCTCTCCACCTTGAACATTGATATCGGCCCCTTTGGTGATCAAGAGACGAGCAAGCTGTGTATTGCCTTGGACTACCGCCGCGCAGAGTGCACTGCCATACTGTCCGCCTCGAGCATCAACATCAGCCCCTTGATCAACCAAGAGCCGTGCTACGTCGATATAGCCGCCAAAGGCAGCTGCCTGGAGAGCGTGACCATACTTTCCCCCTTGGGCATTAATAGCGGCGCCATTATCAATCAGCGTCTTTACCATCTGATCCTGGCCTTTGAGAGATGCCATTTGCAGAGGACTGTCATACTCGTCACTGATCGCGTGAATATTGGCGCCATTATTAATGAGTACGCGAGCCACTGGCATATGGTTTCCCTCTAATGCAGCACATAAGGCATTGTTGTATCTTCCAACTTGAGCGTTAACATCAGCGCCGGCATCGATCAATACCTGCACTAGGTGCTTGTGGCCTATGTGGCAGGCGGCATGAAGAGCATTGCCATATTCGCCGCCGCCTCGGGCATTAACATCCGCACCACGATCTAGCAGCAACTTGACCACCTGTCCATGTCCCTCATAAGAGGCTTCTTGAAGAGGGGTGTTTCCGTACACTCCACAGCGAACGTTGACATCTGCGCCACGATCGATGAGAAGCTGCACCAGCTGCTGGCTGCCACACTTTGAGGCAGCATACAAAGCGGTGCCGTACCCCGGGTCTTGAATGCTAATGTCGGCGCCATTGTCGAGCAGCAACCTAGCCATCTGTTCGTATCCTGTAGCGCATGCCGCTACCAAGGCAGGGGGGCGGTTGTTTTGCAAGTTGACGTCGGCGCCATTTTCGATAAGCAGCTTTGCCATATCCTGATCATTTCCGCACGACGCTGCCTGTAGAGCGCTACCAAAACATCCGCAGCTGGCATTGATATCAGCGCCACTATTCAATAACAGCTCAATTAGTTCCCTTCGGCTGTGCCATGATGCTGCTTGTAGAAAACTGCCAAAATGTCCTGCGTCTGCGTTGACATCGGCGCCCTTGTTTATCAGTAGCCTTGCAATCCTTTGACTCCCGCGTGCTGAAGCCGCAGCGAGACCCGCCGCAAAGTCCGTAGCTGGTGCAATAATGCCATTACCGAGATCAAGCAGTAGCTCTACGAGCTCTATTGTCTCATCCCTTTCATCATCTGCATCCACAAGCGCAGCAATCATGTCGCTCAAATCCTTGCCCTGCAGATCAAGACTAGCACCATAACCTACAAGCAGCTTTACAACTTGTGTACGGCATCTGGACACGGCGGTCTGCAGAGCATTGCTGATGTTGGTATTCCCAGCGCCGTTGGCCAGCAGGTTCCTTACTACTGACTCGCGGCCATGCCAACAAGCGGCTGCAAGAGCATCGCCGTGCAAGCCGCCCCGTGCTGTGGTGTTTGCGCCACGACGTATCAGCAACTCTACCACCTTTTCGCGGCCGCTGGCCGATGCCGCCTGTAGAGCGGTGCCATAATATCCCCCTTGAGCATTGATATCGGCCCCTTGATCAAGCAGCAGCTCAACCAAACTCACATCATCCCTGGCATCACGGCCAGCTCTGTTGCCGTCGAGAGAGGAAGCTGCTTGAAGAGCGCTGCCGTATCGCCCGCCTTCAGCATTGACCTCAGCGCCGTGGCTGATCAACAGCTCCGCGAGCTGTCTGTGGCCAATGAACGAGGCTGCTTGCAGAGGGCTTCCGTAGATACCACCTTTCAAGTTAGTATCTGCGCCTCTTTCAATCAGTAGTTGCACTATAGGCTTGTGGCCTGAAAATGTTGCAGCTTGCAAAGCGCTACCATCGCTTCCACCTTGAGTATTGATATCAGCGCCATTGTCAAGCAGTAGCTGCACCACCTGTATATGGCCTGCAAATGCTGCAGCCTGGAGCAGAGAGCCATGGCTTTTAGTCTCTCCATTGACATTGGCCCCTCTCTCAATCAATAGCTTCACAATTCTCTGATTCCCATTTCGTGAAGCAGCCTCAATAGCTTTTGCAAGATTTCCGGGTAGCATGGTAACATCGCTCATGCTAAGCAGCACCTCTGCTAGTTCTACCACCTCATCGTCTTCCTGACCTGCATCCGCAAGAGCGGCAAGTGCGCCACCAAATCCTCCGTCTCGCGACATCGGGGTAGCGCCGCGAGCAATGAGAAGCTTTGCAACGCCGATGTGGCGTTTAGAGAGGGCCACTTGTAAGGCACTGCCCATATATGGCATTTGTATATTGGCGTTGGCGCCACCGTCGAGCAACAACTCCACTATCTTGTCATGGCCGTTTAACGACGCCTCTTGCAAGGCGCTACAGCCGTATACCGTTTGGTCTGCATCCACGCCATTGCTGAGCAGCAGCTTCACTATGGGAAGATGGCCACGTGCTGCTGCCAATTGGAATGCTTCCTCCAACAGGCACTTGACAGCTATGTTGTCTTTCCCTATTCCCAAGATCATCTGGACCGTGCTGAGATGTCCTCGACCAGCTGCCCAGACGAGAGCCGAGCCGCCCGAGTATTGTATGTTGTGGCGATAAAGGGAAGAATTTAACAACCCATAGAGGTAGCGATTCGTTTGCACAAAGGCATTCATATCCTTCTCTGATGGAAAGTGCGTAAAGGCTACGCAGAGAAGGTCATCCCCCAAATCCAGTAGAGTGGCCATCCTAGTAATCTTCGATAGTAGCTTTCTGGCTTCTTTAGATCAAGCCGGGCCTTTCGAAAGTGATACTGCCTGGCAGTCAAGTAAGAACGAAACGAGAAAGCTGAGTATATCTTATAACTTAACAGAAGTTGAGTCATGTTACGTTACAAGGTTTCACTAGTAAACAGTATTTGACATTGCAAATTAAAACGAGGGGCAGTAGCTTATTCCGCGTCGCGGAACAGCGACTCTAGACACGTAGCTGATCCTACACTAACCCCTCTAAGCTAAAACAAACGAGGGGTTACGGTAGGCCAGGGGACATGAAACTCTCGACAATGCAGATCAATGAACTATAATTTCTTTTATGGGGCAACATTGTTTTGAAAGATAATACGGAGTAAACACTGCCATTCTGATGTCCTTTTGATAAAGCTAACATCTCACTTTATCTTCTACAAGTCACGCAGTGTCCCATCGCCGCCACAAGTGGGAGCTTTCCCTTATTCTTAAAAGTCTCTATACAATTCAAAGCCGGCGTGAATTCTTTTTACCTGATCATAACGTACCTTTTAATTGTTTCAAACCAACGACGCCACCGCTGGCCTGCGCGTATGGAAGCCACTAGACGATCGAGGCGTCTTGCCCAAGTATTACACTCCTACGATAACACCCCCAGCGACGCCGAAGCCTCTATACCGCGTCGAGC